ATTGTGGACATACGGTGGTTGTGTGTGGTGGGTGCTGGTATTTCTGTCGGGCCCTGAAGGCAGCAGCAGCTGGTTCACACCGATGTGGATGTTTTGAGTCACAGGAAGAGAGTTTGGCTCCGAGCCGCTCAGTTTCTGTTTAAAGCTGCTGTTTTTGCACAGTGAGAGTCAAAAACATGAGGAATGAGTCATGTGGGAGAAGAGGAGATATTTCTGTTCAGGAGGAAACTCAGAGCGTGTTCTGTTACTCAGGTCTTAATCACTGTGTTCATTAACATTAAAATAATACCAAACAGGTGAGTTAGAGTAAAGTTAGTCTCTCACAGGTATAACAGGTATGATAATTAACTAGACAGATATTCACTAAAAACTGAGACTAAACGCTGCTGTAGCTGCTCAGCGAGGGTCGCAGCTGTGACAACCTTTGACCTCTTAGACATTCTCTGTGACCCGTCAGTTTAAATCTATGTGAACACAGCAGGACTATGATTATCAAATACAGACATTATCAGCAGCTGTCTGTCTCTCTCTCTTCACCAGGTGTTCTGTTGTTAACCGTAGAGGTTTGCCTATTGTCATGTGATCCAAGTGTTTGACCCAAGACTCTGAACACTGATCAGTTTTAACATGAATATGGTCACAGTCCAGTCTGTTTTCTTAAAGATCAGAGTGTTGTTTCTTCCTCAGATATAATTTTGATATTGGTACCAATAACATGTTAATTAGATCTTATCAAACAGCAGTCAAACTGAATGTGTTTCTGATGATGAGTAGAAACTGGAGGTGGGACTCTGTGAATGGCTGCTTGTGTCAGACCTCATCACAGGACTGTTACACTCAGCCCTCGTTCAGATGTGATTGTTGCACAGTTGCATTAAAGCCTGTTAAAATGAATTGATTTCACTGAAAACACTGACATGACTTCAGAAACTAGGTCTCTCTAGGTTTGGCCTGGTTTCTGTTTTAAACTGAACCAGCTTTATCTTCAGATCAGCAGTGATTAGGGGTGTTCCCTTTCGTATTGATTATCTAATCAGAGTCTGATTTGATAATGAGCATGAAATACTGATGGTACATCCTGATTCAGAATTTGGATGTTTGTGATCTTAAAATGTGAATATCATGTGATGTGATCCTTTAGAGAGAAGGCGTCTCACTCTGTGGGAGTTGTTGAACTACAGAAACACTCTTTTTGTACTGAGCTCGCTAATTTGTGTTGGTCATAAACTGGTTCAGTGTTGGTTATAAACTGGTTCAGTGTTGGTTATAAACTGGTTCATGGTAATTGAACTGGTTCCCGTTAATTAAACTGGTTCATGTTAATTAAAATGGTTCATGCTGGTTATAAACTGGTTCCTGTTAAATAAACTGGTTCAGTGCTCTGGCTCTCTGTGTGTTTCAGACTGTGTTGAAGGAGGGCAACCTAATGAAACAAACCAACTCGTTCCAGCGCTGGAAGAGACGATACTTCAAACTGAGAGGGAGGACTCTGTACTACGCTCAGACTGCTAAGGTGACTGCCCCCTAGTCTGCTGCTCAGGTAGAAGGTAGAGGACAGGTGCAGCAGAGGTGACCTCAGGTCTATCTCAGGAGTGCAAGCTCAGTCAAATCAATGGATTATTTTCATTATTGATTAATCTGCTGGTTATTTTCTCCATCAATCGATGAACTATCTGTCAATAAAACATCAGCCCACATCAATATCCAGAGCATAAGGTTTATTGTGATATAAGACACAGAAAAGTCTCGTGAGAACCTGGAACATCAACTGTTTGATATTTTTGTTTGAAAAATAACAGTTAAGCAATTACAAAAATAGTTGCCAATTCATTTTCTGTCAGTCACCTAATCAATTAATCGACTTATTGTTGCAGCTGTAATATATACAAGTACCTCGAATGTACAATGAAAGTATGATTACTGTTGAGTTTAAGGTGAATCTAAATGTTGCTTCTGATGTGAGTGTTAATGGTGGTTTGCTGTCTGTCGTCCATTAACCCTTCAAAACACTGATCTAGGTTCAGTCTTCAGGTCTGATCTGAAGTGTGTTTCTTGTCTCTGTCTCCAGTCGATAATCTTTGATGAAGTGGATCTGACTGATGCCAGCGTTGCTGAGTCTAGCACCAAGAACGTCAACAACAGCTTCACCGTGAGTCCGAAAACAGCATCAGTCTTTCAGACAGAAACACTTAGACCCCGAACTTCCTCGGGTCATTTTCAGAGCAAACCTCACAGGTGTGTAGGTGTGGGCTTCTTGTTTCAGGTACAGGTGAGACATGAAATACAGTCCACGAAGTCCAGTTTGAGAATGAGATCAGGGTTCTTGAGTGTTCTCCTGAAATAAGGAGGGCCTTTACCAACCTCAGAAGAACAGACATGTTCATTAAGTATGGGGCTTATTGAAGCTCCTGTGGTGTCTTCTTGTTACCCGAGTTTGTCTTCCTCACTAAAACACAAAGTGTGAGTCACTGAGACGACAAACAGGATGAGTGTGTGTCCTTCATTGTCAAACAAACATGGAGCTGCTCATAATAACAGCTCCACAGGACAATGGAGCAACATTAATCCATTTGTCTATAAGATGTCAGTAATGGTATAACATGGCTCTAATGATTTCCAACACAGAGATTCAGTTTATCATCACGTGAGATGAAGAGAAGCATCCAGTCTTCACATGTGACAGACTGAAACCAGAAGACGTTTGACACTTTTCCTTAAAAACTAAGATCAGTAATCTCTTATCAAAATAGCTGCCGATTAATTTTATGTTGACGACGATCGATAAATCAGCTAATGGTTGCAGCTCTGTCTCTGAGCTTGTTTTCAGTCGCAGGTTCTAATCAACAGTTTTACAGAGGTCTTCCTTATAACTGTGGTTTATGAGGAAAATCAATTCACTAAGGATCATCTTTCACACTTTATTGTAGTAGAAAACACACAAAGAAGCCAATAGTAAAGGTTCTTTCAGTGTTTTTTCCTCCTCGTCTTATTTTGGTATAGTTTGTCACTTCCTGTCAGTGAGGCCACAGAGTCAACTTTGATGTGTATTTATAGAGACTGGGGGCTGTTTAACAGTAGGGTGGGGCTGTGTGTGTGTGTGTGTGTGTGTGTGTGTGCGTGCGCGTGTGTTTCAATGGTCAAAATGCATCAGGCTGTTAGCATGTGACTGAGTGTATTTATAGGAAGCTGAGTGTGTGTAATACTTTTATCAATTCTCATAAAATACATCTCACTCTGTGGGGTGTGTGAGTGACAAACAGTACACACACTGATGGTATAGTAAACACGTATTCTACACATCTGTGTGTTTGTTTACTCTATCTTGGCGTCCTCTTCTTTGTTGGTCCTCATGATCTCCCTCCCCCCTCTCCACAGGGGGGCGAGGGGGGGTCAACATGACGACAAACAGGAAGTAGGTTGAGTCATACGAGAGGATGTGGGAGGAGCCAGAAAACAGAGAGGGAGAGGCAGTAACAGAGCAGCAGACGAATGACCAGAACCAGGTCTACTTAAGATCTACCACCACCCCCCCCAGATCAGGACTTTAACCTAGAGTGTGACTTGGACAAGATTTTAAAGTGGACTTTTTGTGATCAGTTGTGACCTGGACCAGGTTTGAACCCTCTGGAGCTGGTGTGTGGGTTCTGGACTCAGACTGTGGTCTCTGCGTTTCTGTGTTGGAGTTGAACTTCAGAGGAAAGTTTTCAGACACGGTAAGAGTTTTAACAGAGGGAAGGGTTTTCATCCCTGATCTGGATCAACATCAGTATGAGATGACAGTCTGTGTTTATTACGTCATAAATGCGTCATGTAGACAACTGCTGATTGTTCAGAGTCGTATCTCAGATTTCTCTAAACTGAGTGAGTGGTGGACAGAGGTCCAGTCCACATAACCATATTTAAAGACACAGTGATCACATTTCATCTCAGACAGACTGACAGAGTCAGAGTAGAGGAGAGTCATAGTAGAGGAGTAGAGTCAGGTTAGAGGAGGAGAGTCTGAGTAGAGGAGTAGAGTCAGAGCAGAGGAAGAGAGTCTGAGTAGAGTCAGAGTAGAGGAGGAGAGGCAGAGTAGAGGAGGAGAGGCAGAGCAGAGGAGAGAGAGTGTTACTGTGTGTTAGTGTGTATTTGTGTGTAGTATTGAACACAGTGGTTACTTCAGCCTCTGTCTTCAGACTGTCACATGGTGAGCTCAGAGATGAAGCTCTTTAAATATTTGCTCATTTTTTTCCAGTCACACCAGTTTAGCTCCATCGCCTGTTCCTGTTTAATGGGATCACAGCTGCAGCTGACGGTGACGTCACCTTCAGCTTCACTCTGACATCGTCCAAACACAATGTGACAGGTTGTTGTTCTCAGGTGTTTGTCCTTAGTTTAAACTAAAACAGCAGAACAGATCTGTTCTGCACCCACTCCTTTTAATGTTATTCTCACCTATTTTGCATACCCAAATACCAAAGCTGGGGGGGCAGCTGTTGTCATGTGACCAAACAAAACTCTATATAACTGAATTCAAAACAAGGAATTTTTATTTACAAAAGGTGCCAAAACAATAATTGCACTGGTTTCAATATATAAATAACTATGTACAAAAAACCCCCAAAATGTTGAAATTGCACATAAATGAACAAATATATACAGTATATAACTATATACTAAATAAGGTTTCAGGGGCAGGGTTCTTTATAGCCCGTTCTGTGTGTGCCAAGCATTGAAGCAGTCCCGTGTTGCAACAAATCACAGGAGCGCGTTACAGCTGTGACGTCCACAGGCGTTTTCCGGTGGCAGAGGACACACTTTCTCCTCCCTGCTGTGCCATTTCGATATTCTTTCCCTCAACAAAATAGTGCAGCTTGTGTGAAGCTGCTGGGGCAGGGGGTGGGGATAAAGGCTGAGACATAGACACAGAGCTCTGGTCTGCCAGCTCTTCAACCAGTGCAGTCCAGGGGTGGATGGGGTGGTCGGGGTGGTCGCAGCATCTGCAGCAGTTGTAGCAGCGGCAGTAGCAGCGGCAGCAGCGGCAGCAGCGCTGGTTGCAGCAGAGGACGAGCGACGTCTCTTTCCTGGAGACGGTTCTGCATCAGGCTCCCAGTCTGAGCTGCTGTCCTCTGGCCTACAAAACAAAATGTAACGCAGTGAACTGGACTACAGTGTACTGTAATTTCAGAACTGTAAATTGCAGCATGTAGTAAATGTACAGACAGCAAAAGTCAACCAAACGCCACTGGATAAAGTCAAGACACGAGTGTGTAGCGTGCGTAAAACAGGGACATCTATGTCGCTACGCACAGCAATAACATTGGCTAAAACAATGGCCAATACTTCCTTTGTGAAGGTAATACATTAGGGAAAACAAGCATACCCAAAGCCCTGCAGTCGGAGGTTTAATGTTTTCCAGTTGAAAGAAGTGATGTAGTTTTTTTCCGAATGAAGTCCCTCGGGTGTCTGAAATGGACTTTATATGGCACTATTCACAATTTGGATTATTTTTATCTAAAAACACTTTTGGTTTTTGTGATCCTTGGACCCTTAAGGACAAAATGAGTACAAATTAGGGAGGAATAGACCAAAAACTGGACTTCATCATCGCTTGAACAGTAGGGGGTTGACACGGTTTTGCCGTCTTTCTGGTTTATGTTGCTGGTAAATCTGAATGAATCATTATTTTGTGCTCATAGTTACTGAAAAATGAACTGGATATTTGAATTGTGGAAAACTTGGAGCTACCCAAATATAGCAAGTCAGTATTGACATATGTTTATATTGCCACATTAATTTGCATTATCACTACAGGCCAGCGGGTTGTAAGAGGTTAATGGAGCAGCTCCTCTGCCTGCAGCCAATCAGATGTCAGACCACATGATGCAGCTTCTTTAAAGTACAGCAGGAACATTTTAAGACCTGAAATAGACTTTATTTCTACTGCTCCTCTCTACATCAGACGTCATCAAGTTTTTCACAATAAAAGACAGACACACCACATGAAACTTTACAGTCTGGAGCCAGAAACAACCAACAAGCTCTGATTAGAACTCAGTAGAGACCTAACAAGAGTCTTGATGACCTGTAACCTGCTTCAGAACCATAAACTTGAGGTTTTTATTGCGGTTCCACTGTTTTACACTCCAGGACACTGGAGGTTCATGTCTGAGCTGAAGGGTCAGTGAAGATGCTTTCAAAACAAAACCAGGAGCAGGTTTTATTCCTCAGTGAACTTAAGCCAAAGTTAGGTAAAGAGTAAAAACCTGAATCAGACCAGTATTTGCTGTGACCCCCCTTTCCTTTAAACCAGCTCCAGTTCTCCTCAGTACACCTGCTCACAGTTCTTCGGGTTCTTGTCAGGTAGGTTGTTCCATCATCTTGGAAAAACTGCCTCTGACTCAGTGACTGAGATCAGGACTCCTGGTTTTTCTGGTCTCTGGAGATAGTTCTCTATGACTGTGTGTTTGGACTCATTGTCCTGCTGCAGGATAAATCTGGACTAATCAGACATTTTCTGATGATGATGATGATGATGATGATGATGATGATGATGATGATGATGATGATTATGGAGAAGAGTCTGAACATCACAGTACTGACATGATGTCATGTTGATTGTCTGTTTGGTTGGATGATCGAGTCAGTGGTTGTGGGACAGACGAAGGAGAGAAATCCAGATCCTTTCTGGGACTGGTGTTGTTTCCCCAACATTAATCTGAACTCAGACCAGAGGCTGTAGGCAGGGTCTAATCTAAACAGGGATTCATACTGAAGACAGTCAACAGGGCTCTGGTCCAGTCCAGTCAGAGTAATAGTTTAATGAGAGTAAAGGTTTATCGGACACCAACCTCTGCACAGAGCCTTAACACCTGTTACTACCGGTTACCACCATGACAGTGTCTTTTATTTTGACAGTCAGCAGCAGAAATACATAGTTCATGTTGCAGGTCTTAACAGTCATACCAAAACATGTCTTACTGCATGACCACAGTACAGTGTTCAGTGTAATGGGAGTCTGTCAGATACATGACTCAGTCAACAGTTTATTAACAGTGACTCAGTTTGGTCATATCTGGAGCTGAAACGTGGTGCGTCTGCTGTTTGGAGACAGTTGTATGTTAGTGTCTCCGGTCCACACTGCCGACGCTTTGGATCAATAAACCATACATTTCCTCAAACTACTGTACAGCACTGAGGTGTTGGTGGTTCCAGAGCCTCTTCTGTGCACAGCTGTATGGAGAAATAATCCAGTCACACTTCTACAAGGATATTAAAACGGAAAAAAATAGCCCTGGTTCTGGACGGGTATCGCTCATCCATCAGTACTCAGACTGTCGAGTTCAGTTTTCAGAGAGAACATCTCCACCAGAAAGTCCAGTTTGATACGGTTGCTCTGCTGATAGATCTCAGGTATACTTCCCTGTGGATGCACACACAGAGGTGTAGTTGTTACACTTGTTTGTTGTCAGCCTGGAGGAGCACAGTTGCTCTACAGCACTGGGTGACCTGAAATGAATGAGGGGGCTGGGTTTTTAAACATAGTCTGAACTGACGCTGCTCCAGTGGAGGACGAAGTACTCACATACTGTACTTCAGTAAGAGTGCTAATAGTACACAGTAAAAATACTCTGTTACAAATAACAATGTGTGAGTAAAAAGAGGAAAATGTTGAAGTATCACACGAAAAATATTATCATGAGTTGTGTTTACTGTATGAAAAGAAAATACTCAGCTACAGTACAAGTACCTCAAACACACCGTCTGTCCTCAGTACAGTACAGTAACTGTGTAAATGTACTCTGTTACTTTGCAGCATTTTGTTTTAACATTGAACTGTAACACGGTTCTTTGTGTCGCCAAAAACACAGTCACTAGGAGAAAGTTTGTGTGTGTGTGTGTGTGTGTGGGTGGGTGTGTGTGTGTGTGTGTGTGTGTGTGTGTATTTCTGTCGGTGTGGGAACAGAAGGTTCATTGTGGAGCAGCTGAACAGGAAGTGGAAGTCCATGTCTGTTTTTCTGGGAAATACAACCCCACACACACACACACACACCAAATACACACTCCTGCTGTGTGTGGTTTTATTCCAGTTGTACAATCAGAAGAATCAGCTTCATGTTTTAAACAACACTGACAACACAAGGAGAAAATACTGAATATTAATCTACCTGTCTGTGTCTTTGTCTGTTTATCTATCTGTGTGTGTGTGTGTTCGTGTGTGTGTGCATGTGTGTGTGTGCAGGTCATCACCCCCTGTAGACGTCTGATTCTGTGTGCAGACAACAGGAAGGAGATGGAGGAGTGGATGGCAGCGCTGCGCAGCGTCCAGAACAGACAAAACTATGAGGTCTGTGTGTGTCTGTAGTGTTACCAGTATGACCGGCAGTAAGAGCCCCAATACCACGTACTGACTGTGTGTGTGTGTGTTTGTCTCTCTCCCAGTCTACCCAGTACAGCATGGACCACTTCAGTGGGATGCACAACTGGTACGCTTGTTCTCACGCCAGACCGACATACTGTAACGTCTGCAGAGAGGCTTTGTCAGGAGTGACATCACACGGCCTGTCCTGCGAAGGTACACACACACACACACACACACACACACACACACACACACACACACACACACACACACACACAGAGGTTCAGAGCTTCAGAATAATGACCCTGACACAGACAGACAGCAGGGTGGACAGAGGACACACCTCTCTTTGAGCTTACCTGTGTCACACCTGTGCAGGACAAGATATGGGCAGAGGATGAAATCTACATCATCAGACGCTCACAGACTTTTAAAATATTTTCTCCAGATGATCATTTTTTTCATCTGTGCTGTCGGATAGTTCATCAACTGGTTTAATATTAAAAAGTGAAATATCTTGAAATATAAAAACAGATGCATCTGAATCAGGTCTCAGTAGAAGACCTAGACTCACACCAGGTTCACACCACTCTCCTCAACAGTTCTGCTGCCTTTAATCCTTCTCACTTGATGTGATGATGACACATGTTAAATCCACGTGTTTCATCAGGTCATAAGCAAACAGGACTCAGCAGGTTTGTAATGTCTGAATATAGCTGTGATTTATCACTGTCCTGTGTGTGTGTGTGTGTGTGTGTGTGTGTGCGTGCGTGTGTGTGTGTGTGTGCGTGTGTGCGTGTTACAGTGTGTAAATTTAAGGCCCATAAACGCTGTGCAGTCAGAGCCACCAACAACTGTAAATGGACCACACTGGCTTCTATCGGGAAGGACATCATTGAGGACGAGGACGGGGTGAGGTCACACGCTCAGGAATATTTAGCTATAATTTATCAATGCCATCTGACCCCCGACCTCTGCCCTCTCCTCAGGTGTCGATGCCTCATCAGTGGTTAGAGGGGAATCTCCCAGTCTCGGCTAAATGTAACATCTGTGATAAAACGTGCGGCAGCGTCCTCCGTCTGCAGGACTGGAGGTGTCTCTGGTGTAAAGCCATGGTGAGACAGAGACCAGTCCAGAGACTGTAGTGACGGGTGTTCTCTTTCTGATGATATGTCAGCCACAGGCGTGCTGTTTTCTGACCTCCTGTTTTAATGAGCTCTTCTTCCAGTCCAGACAGTTAACAGCCAGTTAACAAATGGTTAACAGCTGGTTAACAGCCGTACAGTTCTTCTGTCTACAGAGTGTCGAGATAAATCAGCTGTGACCACCATCATTGTTTGAGAGGATTTTATTTTGTAATGACCCGACACCTTCTGTTGAAACTGTCATTGGAAGGATTATAATCTAAAACATGAAGTTGTTTTAAATTTACTTAATCTGCACTACATCCTCCTGTTTGTACTGTAAGCGGACAAAAGACCAACCAGAGACCGACAGAGACTGACAGAGACCGAAGTCTGTCTAAGTCCAGCCAGAGTCCAACCAGAATCCGACCAGAGTCCGACCAGTGTCCGACCAGTGTCCAACCAGTGTCCGACCAGAGACCGACCAGAGACCGACAGAGACCGACAGAGACTGACAGAGACCGAAGTCTGTCTAAGTCCAGCCAGAGTCCAACCAGAATCCGACCAGAGTCCGACCAGTGTCCGACCAGTGTCCAACCAGTGTCCGACCAGTGTCCGACCAGAGACCGACAGAGACCGACAGAGACCGACAGAGACTGACAGAGATCGAAGTCTGTCTAAGACCAACCACAGACCAACCACAGACCAATAGAGGCTGACTATCTAAGACCAACCAGAGACAAACCAGGGACGAATCAGGGACTGTCACAGACCGACAGAGACCCCTTGCTCACCTAAATTCCGTTTTTAAATCTCATGTGTCTCAGATTTTAAATAATTGTGTATAGGAATCATGGATTGGCAGTTTTTTGATATGCTAAATGTAGCTGAGTCACACAGAAATGTCATATCCAAACTGTTAAACATTCTGTTATTTTCTCCCAGACTGTGACAGAACCAGATTTTAAATCAGTACCTAAAAACTGAACGTCCAAGGTCACAGAGGCTGATTGAAAGTGTTGGGGGACGACTATGGCCAAGTCACCCTAACCCTAACCTTGGTGTCACTGGAACAAACAACACATGAATCAGCTGCTTTTTCAAATGTCTTTTTTCATGCAGGCAGAGGTGTGTTGGATTTCTTCCTCAGGTTGTCCCTCTGTCCTGCAGGTGCACTCGAGCTGTAAGGAGCAGCTGTCCTCCAAGTGTCCTCTGGGTCAGTGTAAAGTGTCCGTCATCCCTCCAACTGCACTCAACAGCATCGACTCTGACGGTAGGGGTCTGACAAACACCAAACACAACACCACACCTGAGTTGATCTACAGCACATACTGAGGCGAATACTGAATGTCTGCTGTGTCCTCAGGCTTCTGGAAGGCGTCGTGTCCTCCGTCCTGCACCAGTCCTCTGCTGGTCTTTGTCAACTCTAAAAGTGGAGACAATCAGGGCGTCAAGTTCCTACGACGCTTCAAACAGCTGCTGAACCCGGCACAGGTATTTGACCTGATGAACGGAGGACCACACCTGGGGTGAGACACACAGACAGAGTAACAGTTTAACAGACAGAGAGTTTGAGTTTAATGTGTCTCCTATAATTCAGTTTATGTGGACACATGAAATCTGTCTCTGTCAGGCTGCGGCTGTTCCAGAAGTTTGATACGTTCAGGATCCTGGTGTGTGGAGGAGATGGCAGCGTCGGGTGGGTTTTGTCAGAGATCGACGCTTTAACGCTGCACAAGCAGGTACACACACACACACACACACACACACACACACACACACAATGTCCTCACAGTGTAGAAATGTCCTCACAGTGTGGAAATGTCCTCACAGTGTAGACGTCCTCACATGGTAGAAATGTCCTCACAGAGAGACGTGAAGGCACACACACACATCGTTTAATGTTTCAAGGAGTCTTTAAAGAGAAACTTCACAGCTGAACGTGTCTTCTTGATTCAAATCCAGAGGACACACGTGCACCTGCCATCCTGTCTCACCTGCTGTCTACACCTGATGAGCTTCTCGTCCATCACAGTGTCAGTCAGTCTACTAACAGTTTGCTAAGAGTTAATTTGTCACTAGCATAACATACGTAGTGTGAATACCACAATTTAGAATTTGCTCTCGTTGATAAGGGGGCACTAGTCCTCAGGAAGGACAGTGTTAATGAACTTTATTTATTAGGGCTCGAGCGCATCGAAGGAAACTGTTGTGATTTTTATTATTCCGACCAGAAGAAAAATCGCCTTTTTGAGGCCTTTCCCGTGCTCAAGAACTCATGAAACTTTGCACACGCATCAGGCATGGTGAAATTTTATGTGTCTCGCCACCTAAAATTGTAAAAAAAAAATTGAGCCCCTGCTCTGTGTTTCACCTACATGCACGAAAGTTGGTTGGCACATGTATCATGCCAAGACTTACAAAAAAGCCTCTTGCGCCCATACCCTCAACCAAACAGGAAGTCAGCCATTTGAATTCAATTTGCAATTTTGCCGCCGTTTTTGCGATTTGGGGTCACGTACTTTAACGAACTCCTCCTAGGGAATTCATCAGATCAACATAATCTGTGGTCAGCCTCATCATAAGACCTTTGTGATGTTATATAGCGAAGCTTTTGAGTTTTCGCTGTAGGACCCGCCCCTGATGGCGTAAAGAATTTCGATCCTTCGCCATGAAAAATTAACTCCCTCTCATTCCAGCATAAGTTGTCCAAGCTGCCTCAAACTTTCTGTGTCATAAGAGTCCCGCCCTGAACACACTCATATGCTCATATTCAGTGATACCCATAGTGCCCCCTTGTGGAAACAGGAAGTGTCATGTTCTACATTTTGATATACTGCTCATAGTAGGTTGATCCAATCATGATCAACAATTTGATTGCACTGTAGTTAAAACTGTGACTTTTCATGGAACAGCCTGCCCGTGGTGGCATGGCGAATTTCGGTCCTTCGCCATGAAAATTCAACTCGCTATAACTCCAGCACGCATTGTCCAAATGGCCCCATAATATTAATATGTGATAAGAGTCCTGCCCTGAACACACCTATATGTCCATATTTAGTAGTATTTATAGCACCACCTCTAGGCAATATGTGGTATTATGATTTACTTTTTCATTTATTATTCCTAGAGAGTTGACCTGGCCCTCAAAAAAACGGTCAGAAAATAATTTGTTGAATATGCTGATGCTTCATGGATGTCAGTTTTGAGTTTTCACTTAAAGGCGTCGCTCTGGCGGCATGTCAAATATGAAACAGGAAGTGGCTTTATGTCCATGACATGTTGTCCAATTCCAAGATCATTGTTGGTTTATTCTCATCTTCAGACCAGTGCAATTCTACAGTGCAGAGCTTTTGAGTCTTCGTTAAAGGACCCGCCCGTGGCGGCACGTTGAATTGCGATCCTTCGCCAAAACTGTCAACTGTCAAAAATCTTCAAAAAGGAAAACATGGTGATAATAAAAAGTTACAAAAATTACTCTGAGGCACTTCTGCTGTTTTGGTAGAGTTTGTTTAGAATTGGCTTATAAAATTGAATATTGCACATGTAGACAAAAATAAATGTTACTTGGAGAACATGGCACAGAAAGAACAAAGAACGTGGACAAACAATTAAGTGCACAATGGCTAAAAGCTGATAGCTAAGAGCTTGTAGCTAAGAGCAGATGGCAAAGATCAATATGTGAAGTGATCACGACTGTTTTATCCCCTGGGGGCTGGCGCACGTTTCAGGGTCGTTTCCCATCTTCTCCTTCGTTTCAACTTGGAGAAGAGAATCATTTTCCATGGAACTTTAATTCTAAAGTTTACCTATAAAACTCGCACATCCATCTTCCACCATGACCATAAAACATTACATGAAACACCATATAAACCTAATGGCACTAATAATGACAGACAGGAATACTACAAGTGTGGATTTCATATCACATCCTTCAAAACCTTAAATTTATCATAATACAAGTGGTTAACTGATCAAACAACATAATAAACCTTTCCTAAAGCTAATAGTAAATAAATGTGGATAAACTGCAGTCCTTTGACTATAATAGTACTAATAAAGACATTCTGGATTTCTGTAATGTCTGTTACCTTGTGTGAAGGGTGATGACAGTATGGTCACATGAAGGACATTGTCTTAAACCTACATGTTACATTTCAACCATTCTTGAGGATTCAAATCTGGGATTTACCTATTACATAGAAACATCACATAGGTTACAGAACAGTTAGATATTTCATTTTCTATTTTTCTCAGATCTGTGTCTGTGAAGAGAGTTCTGCTGGTCACTGCTCAGGATTGGAATGTGGGTTGTAGTTTATGACTCTGTCTCGGGAAAGACGAGTTTGTGTGTGTGTTCATGCATGGCACAGAGAGTTTAGGAATCACACCTTAGTGGTAATCAGTCCTTTTGATGTTGCTTTTTCTATATAAGAAACTGAAATATGAAGAGACAGAGTCTTATTGTTAGAAACCGGAGACTTTGCCTATGTTCCAGTTTGTATTCAGTTTGGCTGGTGTCCATTCGTTGATCCCCTGGAGCTGACCCTTTGACCCATGGTCTGGTTGTGCGTCTCTCTGACTGGTTGGCAGGTCCTTTGTCTCTGTTTCCTATCAATTCGATAGTTTGATGGTGGAGGAGTAAGAAAGTGTCAATTCTGGGTCCATAACTCTGCACGTCCTTCCTGTGAACTTCTTTAATGGCTTGTCACTGATGCTGGACCAGTTATGTCTGCTACACATGTAACATGTAACTGTGAACTCACACTCTGCAGACCACAGTTACACATGTAACTACAGTTCTATGATTCAGAGACAGTCACAGCTGGATTTCCAACATCTGTGTCAGTTTGAGTGGAGGATGGAAAATGGATCATCTGACAGTTTAATGAAGTGACTCTACAGATAAATTACTGACTCTAAAGTTACTCTTCATAGCACTGTGGTCCCTGAGGTTCAGGTCCATGTCTGTGCTCCATCAACAGCGCCCCCTGCTGCTCCATCACCATCCTGGCCTCCTTCAGTAACAATAGTCTTTAGTTTTGGAGGATTATTTTGTTGCAACATTAATGCAGTTTAAATGTGAAATAAGCAGTAATGATTAGTAACAAATGTTCGAGGTGACGTCTTCGCTGTCTGGTTTTGTCCGACCAACAATCCAGAACCCAAAGATCCTCAGTGTACTGTGGCGTAGGACAAGACATCTGACAAGCTGAGAAAGTTTCACAGTTTTGCTTAAACACATTAAAACTTGAACAGTCAAAAATAATTAAAATAATTGTTGAATGATTTTGTTGATGGGTTCATTGATTAATCACCTAAATGTTTCAGCTCTTGTACTTTTATTTTTGACATGTACTTGATCTTAAATAGTTTAAACCTTGTGCAAAAGTTAGGGTTAGGGTTGAAACTCAGATATAGATTTATACTAAATTATACTAGTTTCTTGATTTGAACGTCTTCCTGCTCTGTGAGGCTGCTGTTAGCTGTGGATGATCTGTCTATAAACTCTGTTTCTAAATGTGTTCAGTGCGAGCTCTGATTTGTCCTACAAATGTCATGTTGACCTCCAGACCCTGAAATATAAAGACTGGAGACTGAAACAACCATTTAGGTGTGTGAGGTTTTTCCCTTCTTTGATGTTCACCTGTCACTTAGTTTGGGCGGGATTTGTACAGAGTCTGGATCCCTGTAGTGGAAAGAAACAGATGTTTGGGGCACCCCAGCCGCTCACCTAGTAGAGCAAGTACCACATCTGGGTGCTGCATGTCGTCCTCTCTCTCCCCCTGGCCTTCCTGTCTCTCTCTCACTGTGCTATCAGAGTAAAGGCCTAGGAGTAATGGCCTTGTCTGTTTCATGTCTGTGTGTTCAGACCTGAACACACAGACATGAAACACATCGGTTAATGTGACTCACTGTGGATATCATTATCTGTGATGTGGAAAATGACTGGAAATGTGACTCATTATCACTGTAGCATGTGAAATGAAACATGTTAATTTTATTGTTGTGTCTCTGTTTCAGTGTCAGCTGGGTGTTCTTCCTCTGGGGACCGGGAATGATCTGGCCCGGGTTCTGGGCTGGGGTTCAGCCTGTGACGACGACACTCAGCTGCCTCAGATACTGGAGAAACTGGAGAGAGCCAGCACCAAGATGTTAGACAGGTAATATGATAGATAGACAGATAGACAGATCCAGACTCCTGCCAAGCACAGACCCAATCTTTTTTTACCAGCTTGTCCAGTCTCTTTGTGTTCATGTCGGACATGCTGCTGCCCCAGCAGACTGCAGCATAAAAAAAATACACTGTCCACCACTGATGATAAAACATGTGCAGCATTTCACTGCAGACGTCAAAGGACCTGAGCATCCTGAGGAAAAAGATCTGGCTCTGCCCCTTCAGGTAGATGGCATCCATGTTCAGGGACCAGTCCAGTTTACTGTCCAGGTGCACACCTAGGTATTTATAAGTGTGCACCACCTCAATGTTCTTCCCTCGAATGTTGACTGGCTGAAGGGTGGGCCTAGACCTCCGAAAGTCCATGACCATCTCCTTGGTCTTGGAGGTGTTCAGAAGGAGACAGTTCTTGTTGCTCCATTCACTGAAGGCCATCGTCAGATCCCTGTACTCCTCTTCCTGCCCGTTCTTGATACACGCCACAACAGCTGTGTCATCCGAGTATTTCCTGTCAGGTAATCCACAATCCAGGACGTGAAGCAGGGATCCACCCCCATCCCTTCCAGCTTGTCTTTAAGGATGGGGGGTTGGATGATGTCAAATGCACTTGAGAAATCAAAGAACATAATCCTCATGTAACTACCTGGCTCATCTAAGTAAGAATGGGCCTGGTGGAGCATGTAAAGGACGGCATCATCCACTCCAATATGTTCTTTGTAGGCAAACTGTAGGGGGTCTAGTGCATGTTCAACCTGTGGCCTCAGAAGGTGGAGAAGCAGCCGCTCCAGAGTCTTCATGACGTGTGATGTGAGGGCCACCGGTCTGTAGTCATTTATCTCAACCAGAAGGGTCTGACTGACAAATACAACAACTGTCCCTGGTTTGAGTCTCATGTGATGAAGAGACTTCAGTTAGGAAATCCTGAATGTAGTCCTGGGTTGAACTGAGAAAGGCCTCATCAGTCAGTTTGGTGAAGAGAGCCCATTCTAAATGTGTAAGAACTAAGGATCTGAAATGTTCTTTGTGATCCCACCAACACCACAGGTAAAACTCCTGTTACTTGCAGTCACACTTTGAGCATCAGGAATTAACACTGACAAAGTTGGTAAGAGTACTGTGTGACTGTGTTTCTGTGTTTCTGTGTTTAACTGTTGGTCCTAGATCATGAACAGGAACCTTCACCTGAAGCCCTAAAAACTTTGTTTTTTTCTCTACTCCTGCTGCAGGTGGAGCATCATGGTTTACGAGACCAAGTTTCCACGGCAACACTCTGCCTCCACCGTCACAGAGGACTGCAGCGAAGACTCGAGGTAACAGGAAATTACATCTCTTCCTGCGGTTTCCCATTTCAGAGTGCAGTGAGGATGTTCAAAAGGTTGCGAGCTGTCGACTCATGTCACCACCTGTCTGACCTCAAGATAAACTGGAGCAACAGATCTGCCGAGGTTCATTCAGCTCCTGTAGCATTAACATGGATCCAGTTTGTCTCAGAGTCTCAGTCAGTGGTTTAACATTTATGAACACAGAGACAGGCAGTCAGTGTCTGACATTAGGATAGTTTATAAAACCTTTTTAAAACCGAGACAAGGGAAAGACTCAATCTAGTTGTGGAGTAAGAAAAATGTTTTGGCCCCACAGAGGTACTGACCCTGATGTTTGTGTCCTCTGATCCAGGTTCAGCAGATTCTGACATATGAGGACTCAGTGGTGCTCACCTGTCCAAGATCCTGACCTCAGACCAGCACTCTGTCGTAATCTCCTCTGCCAAGTACGACTGACTGTTTGTGGTCCTACTCCTCATACTGTTCATAGGTTTAGATCTAGTTTGTTACTGACTCGTGTGTGTGTGTGTGTGTGTGTGTTGTGTGTGTGTGTGTGTGTGTGTGTGTGTGTGTGTGTGTGTGTGTGTGTGTGTGTGTGTGTGTGTGTGTGTGTGTGTGTGTGGTGTGTGGTTGTGTGTGTGTGTGTGTGTGTGTGTGTGTGTGTGTGTGTGTGTGTCCATATATTCAGGGTTCTGTGTGAGACGGTGAAGGACTTTGTGGCTCGTGTTGGTAAGGCTTATGAGAAGAACACAGAGAGTTCAGAGGAGTCAGAGGCCATGGCCAAGAAGGTACAACACTCATTCAAGACATGAGTGTGTCTTACATTAGTGTTTCTGATGAATCATGTTTCTGTTTTGGACGAGTCATGTTTTTCTGTTGCAGTGTGGCGTCCTGAAGGAGAAACTAGACTCTCTGTTGAAGACTCTGAACGAGGAGTCCCAGGCCTCCACCGTCCTCCCCTCAGTGCCTCCCCCCACCATCGCTGAGGAGCAGGAGGAGGTTGAGGGAGTCATACTTCCTCCCCCTCTCCATCATCCTCCTCCTCCTCTTCATGCCCTGACCAGCTCCGCTCCCTGCTCCCCACGTACCAACACCTCCTCTTCATCTGCAGCCACAGCCATCTTTAAGCCCAGAGAGCAGCTGATGCTAAGAGCCAACAGTCTGAAGAAAGCCATCAGACAGATCATCGAGCACACTGAGAAAGGTCTGGAAGACTCGAAAGTGTTCACATGTCGAATGTTTCAGGGAGGAGGTTATTAAACCCTGTTCTGTGTTCTACAGCTGTGGACGAGCAGAACGCACAGACTCAGCAGCAGCAGCAGGTGTTCTCTCTCAGTCGAGCTGAGGAAGAGGACGGTCTGGTAGAGGAGGACGAGGAGGAGGAGCTGGAGGAGGATAAGATGTCTCTGCACTCGTCCTACAGCACCAAACACCGCAACACACGCAGAGGTGAGAAACCCTGCACTACCACTACAACTGCGGGTGATGTAACAGGTCTGAGAAAATTACAGAATGAAATAATTTACTATGAGTTAAAGTTCAGTGTTGTTGCTCTGCAGTGAAAACAGTGATACGGTTTGTATGACGCATATAAACCAGACAGCAGCACATTCTTCTGTAGATTCACAGTTTTATGTTTATCACTTACAGCTGACTGAACTTCCCATCAATGGTTTGTTTTTGTACAATAGACAGAAAACTTCCCGATTGCCACTACACTTTCATTAAATATGTTTTTCAGCTTTAAGGTCATTGTTAATCAGGGTTCAAGCCTCAAAGGGGCAGAACCCTATTGTTTTTGTGTCGGTTTATCATTAGGTGTCCAAGCCCGAAGGGGATTGGGGACCATGCATGCAAGGCAGCATGGTTCCCTGTTCCAGCGAACCCTACTTATACTCTGATATTTATTTTTCCATTGGTAAAAGTGGTACGGCAGCCTAAACTGTAAGAGACAATGGCATGAAATTGGCAGGGTTGGTATAGACCGCTGCATGTACCTTGGACACCAAAAATGACACACGTGACAGTGAAGCAGCTACAGGTGCAGCAAACGTCTCATCTCACTGTGCTGCAGAACAGAGAGGTTCAGGAGATCCTTTGTTCCCACTGCCATCAGGCTATACAACACCTCAGCCAAAGGAAGTGGACTAATCTAATTATTATTGTTTATTAATTATCAACAGTGTTTATCATTATTATTATTATTATTATTATTATTATCAACAATGAGCTAATGGACACATGACTTTCCCCCAGGGGATAAATAAAGTATCTATCTATCTATTGAGTGCGATATGCAAGAAACTTTGCAAATAGAATGTATAGATGCTCTTGATCAAAAGTTGTATAAAGATTTGCATTCCTCCAAAAAATGCGCTTGTTAGAAAGGCAAAACTTCCTGTAGCTAGCTGTCAAAAGGGGGAGTGTTGCATATCTTTGGCACAATAGGACATTACTTCATAGTATCACTCCCAGGACCTGTACAAAATTTGGTTCTAATTGGCCACTAGGGGGCGCCACAAATGTAATTCTGGTGAAATTCTTCAGTACATGATTAAAATTTAGTAATGATTGATTAAAGTGGGTGTGTCCTATCATGGAAAATCTAAATTTCACCAAATTTCACCTTTTGAACTTCACAAATTCAAAGTTTGACTTCCTGCTACTTATAACTAACACTGACTAACAAGTCTTGATTCAAATGCTACCAATATTGACACAGATATTCTCTAAATGGTAGCTATGCAGTGTTTAAAATGGCATTTGGAATGGTCAAACGGTGAGTCTACAGAGATAGTCGATATTTTGCTGTAATAGACCCCGTTCATACCTGCATGCATGTCTAGTTATTATAATTATTATTATCATTATTTGTCTTCTGCTGTGGGTCAAATTGCCGTGAGCTGGAATGAACTAGCAACATGAAACTTGGCCCAATAACTAGAAATGATGTGCATGTGCTTCCCAAGAAACATGAGCCCAGTCAGCTAGATGATGGCACTGTAATGATGGCCCAGAAATGCAATTTTGGAAAGGCCAAACCCCTCACACCATATGTCCAATGTGCTCTACAGAAAAGCCTGTCTGATTGCTACCAAACTGTAGATCATCATTGGACCAATCAAAAGTTGTATAAAACTTGTTGACATCTTATTTAGTTTTCAACATATTGACCAGTAAACATCACAAGGGGTATGGCCTATCATGTATTTGCTCATGACTCAAGATGCCTTTGAGCATTCCTGACTAAACTCACTGGAGACGTTTGGGCTGTCTGATGAACACACACACTGAGTTTCATTCACGTCTGATGAAAGGAGGACACATGAACTATGCGATCACAGTTACTAAAATGCTGCAGGCTCTTCAATGATGAAACAAGTGTGTGATTGGTCTCACTTGTTAAACTGAATAAACGTGATGATGTGATTGTGACTGTTAGAGCCACTGTTATATAGCATACAGATATGAGTTCTCCAGCTGCTGAGGCTCAGGTGTGACTCTGGGTGTAGCCTCATTAGGATATTCATATATGAGATCGGACTATTTTCATTATCTATTAAACAGCTAATCATTTTCTCGATGAATCAATTTCATCTTTTCATCTTTAAATGACAGAAAATAGTGAAAAATAGTGTTGTTAACAATAAAACTTCCCGCAGTCCAAGTAATGTCATTATATGTCATGTTTGATAATCTGTTTAGTTTAATTTTTGCTTAAAATGATTACAGTAGTTGCAGATTAATTTTTTGTTAGTCAACAAATTGATTAATCAATGTATTAGTATGTATAAATATATGCTGGTGATTAATTTGAAGCTATTGACATCAATGCATTTTCTGAATGTCTTTGTGCCGTTACTTAGCGCTGCCTGTACTGGAAATAAAAACAGAATTGCGTATATGCCAGGGTGTTAACCTAACTGTCTGTAATTGTCTGTCTGACCTGTCTGTCTCCTCAGTCAGTAAGACGCCCTGTGAGAAGCTGATCAGTAAAGGCAGTCTGTCATTGGGCAGCTCTGCGTCACTTCCTATCCAGACAGGAAGCAGGGAGAACATGCCCATGCTCAACACAAAGATCCTCTATCCTGGTAAGAAGTTTGGAGGTTAGGAAACATTTATCTCATGCTGTGTTCCCACGCAGCATCAGTCCATCATTACTTTATCATTACAGCAGTCTGATGTTTGTCTGTGTGTGCAGGTCTCAGAGCAGGTATCTCAGGCTCTTTGTCCAGCAGCTCTGTGATCAGCCGACTGTTGGTGAACGCCGACCCGTTCAGCTGTGACCCTGATAACATGTGAGTCTGTCTCTGACCTTGTACAATATGAGTCACTGCACTGATAGCTTTAATTTGACAAAGCAGCGTATTACTACAAGAACATTTTCACATATTAAATCTAATGCATCCAAGATTGAATGAAGCATGAATCACATTTCATGTAAAGGAGACAATTCTACTATATAGAAAAATACCAGAAAAAGTAGAGAATAGTGATGTATTACTTGTCCAAACAGATTCAAACAACAAAAGCAAATATAAACTAGACATGGACCAACATTTGTATTCTCCAGTGTCCCTGTAATATCTCAAGGTATATCACATCATTGTGGACGATGTTGTAAATCTCTGAGCAGTACTAACTCAAAAGAGTTTGTCTTTATCACCAACTCCTATCTGCTGTGTAAATAAGTTGTTAATTAGATTTTTAATGAAAACTAACCCCAGAGTGTGTATCTGTCTCTGTAGGGACTGCTACACTGAGAAATGTGTCATGAACAACTACTTTGGTATCGGACTAGACGCTAAAATCTCTCTGGACTTCAACAACAAGAGAGACGAACATCCAGAGAAGTGCAGGTATAACAGGAAACAACGATTTTCATGTCTACTTGTAGTAAAGAAATAAACAGGTTTTAAGATATCTCCTGTTTGATTGACTGTTTTTTTATTACTATTATTTTCAGGAGTCGGACTAAGAACATGATGTGGTACGGAGTTCTGGGAACCAAAGAGCTACTACACAGAACCTACAAGAACCTGGAACAAAGAGTTTTACTGGAGGTGAGGTGCAGAATGATGACTACCAACCAGGAGCACTGAACTGCTGAGTCGATGTGATTTAGACCATTAACTACGTATCAACTCAACACGACTGCTCAGATATTCAAAAGTAGTGCACAGTCAGTTCCAGACTGATTCCCCTTCAGAAACAACCAGATCTTATATTGTCATGTTGTCAGACCTAGTGCAGACCTTGTCGCCATCATCCTCACTTCCAAAGGTTGCCATTCCGAAAAAAAAACATTTTTATCTTCATTTATGACTTCATCCACGTTTGACCTCACTGTGATGACTCACCGTGAGACTCTGGATTTTTACATGAGAGAGGGGGAGATGTTACTTTGAGTATTTGATTTTGATATTTAGATGTCCTATAACATGACACGTCCAGCCATTGTTACAGCAGTGAAGACATGTACAACAGGACCATATCATACAACTGTGACTAAATATGTGTGTGTGTGTGTGTGTGTGTGTGTGTATGTGTATGTGTATGTGTATGTGTGTGTGTGTGTGTGTGTGTGTGTGTATGTGTATGTGTATGTGTATGTGTGTGTGTGTGTGTGTGTGTGTGTGTATGTGTATGTGTATGTGTATGTGTGTGTGTGTGTGTGTGTGTGTGTGTATGTGTATGTGTATGTGTATGTGTGTGTGTGTGTGTGTGTGTGTGTGTTCACAGTGTGATGGGCGTCCCATCCCTCTCCCTAGTCTGCAGGGTATTGCAGTGTTGAACATCCCGAGTTACGCAGGAGGAACCAACTTCTGGGGAGGGACCAAAGAGGACGACGTAAGAACTCAGTCTGTCTGTCGTCCCTCATCATCTTTCCACCTTTACTGAACACTGTCCAGTGATGTCATGACATTGCCTGTCTCTCTCTCTCTCTGTCAGACGTTCACTGCTCCTTCCTTTGACGATAAGATTCTGGAGGTGGTGGCGGTGTTTGGCAGTATGCAGATGGCCGTGTCCCGAGTCATCAACCTGCAGCACCACCGCATCGCACAGGTACATACATACCTACCTGTCTGGTCCTGGCCATCTACCTACCTGTCTGTCCCTCCAGCAGTCTGACTGTCTCCTTTCCCTTCTCCTTGTCTCAGTGTCGGATGGTGAAGATCACCATTTTGGGAGATGAAGGCGTCCCGGTTCAGGTGGACGGGGAGGCGTGGATCCAACCTCCAGGTTACATCAAGATCATCCACAAGAACCGAACCCAGACCCTGACCAGAGACAGAGTGAGTATTACAGCCAAGGGTATATGTCTGGTCCACTCAGCTGAAACAGACTAATCCAACAGTCCTGCATTACACAGAGAGCTGCTTCTCACTTTTAGTCTACTCTTGTTGATATAAATGTGATGGACCTGTCTTCACCTGTCAGTGTACTCCTCCAGTTTATTCAACACCTCTTTGAAACTGAACACAATCTCAACATTAGAACCCTCTGTCAGACTGAGTCAGTCTGAGACAGGTGGGTTTAATAAAGTGTAGAATGATGTCACAGAGATCACATGGTGATGAAAATGTTTTTTCTGTGAAGCACATTGATTAGGTTTCAGCACTTGATAGTGGTTTTCACATCTTGTGTGTTTCAGGCATTTGAGAGCACCCTGAAGTCGTGGGAGGACAAACAGAAGTGTGAGTTTCCACGGACTCCCCCTCCTCAGCCCCCTCAGCCCCCCCTGTCCTCTCAGCCAGAGATTGTCTCTGAGGAAGACGCCTCACTTGTCAGCGAGTTCGGTCAGGCAGCAGGAGCACTCATACACAGGTAAACACGGGGTTAACGTCAGGATGTGTCAAACCTGGAACAACTGATTCTTGCATCAGTTATTATATCTATCTACTGAAGGAAATAAATTGAGGTGTGTATATATATATACATTTGTATATATATTTATATATATATATATATATAAATGTATATTATTGTGTGTGTGTTTTACACATCCAGACATTCAGTATATTGTTTCACAAAGCCGGGACTCAGCTGTAACACAGAACTGGACATTTTCAGATATATCTATACTGCAGCAATCATATTATTAGAATTGTTCATAACAGACAATTATCATCATCATCATCATCATCATCATCATCATCATCATCATCATCATCATCATCATCATCATAACAGTTAATTGTCATCATGATCAAAACAGAAACATTTAACTCAGCACACGACTCAGTGGGATGTTAGTTATTGATTCTGGTTGCATGAATATGAAGATATACATATGAATATAATAATAATGTAAATATGATAATATGAATGTAAATGTTCTCTGTCTTTTCTTTGATCTTTCAGTATCCGTGAGGTCGCTCAGTCTCACCACAGTATGGAACAGGAACTGGCTCATGCTGTCAACGCCAGCTCAAAGGCCATGGACGTGGTCTATGCCAACTCCAAGAGCTCCGGGGTACGAGACACAAGACTATGGTCTCTACTGTCCTCTCCTGGTCTCTACTGTCCTCTCCTGGTCTCTACTGTCCTCTGATGGTCTCTACTGTCCTCTCCTGGTCTCTACTATCCTCTCCTGGTCTCTACTGTCCTCTCCTGGTCTCTACTATCCTCTCTTGGTCTCTACTGTCCTCTCCTGGTCTGTGCTCTCCTGTCCTGGTCTCTATTGTCCTGTCCTGGTCTCTGCTGTCCTGGTCATACCGTAACTGTACTTCACTGTCCTCCAGATATAGTCCTGGTACTGAGCTGTCTGAGGTCTGATGTCTTGTCTCTGTCTGTGTTCAGGCTCTGAGCTGCAGTGTGGTGGTTCACATGGTCAGTAACGTCAAAGCTTTACTCAGTGAGACTGAACTGCTCCTGGCTGGAAAGATGTCCATGGTAACTGTCTCCTGGATTTTCTTTAGTTCCTGTCTCTGTATGTGGAAGTTTGAGAAGTAAACTGTGTTCTCTGCCTTTAAATCACGTCACTCAGACACAGTCTGACCTTCAGAGTCACAGATTTTACCGTAGATTCTGAGTATTTTTCGCTCTACTTTGGTCCCGGTCCTGGTCGTGACAGTCGTGTGTCTTTGTGTCTACAGCAGTTGGATCCTCCTCAGCAGGAGCAGTTGAATGCAGCTCTGAACTCTGTGGCTCAGCAACTCCGTCGTCTGGCTGATGTTCCCTGGTTGTGTCCCGTCATCGACCCCTCAGACCATGAGGTAAACCAGGACTCTCTTAGTGCTGCCAATTATGATACTGTAAGACTGAACCTGAGTCCTGGACTGAAGCAGGATCTGAGGTCATTGAGGTAACTTCAGGTTTAACTGAGTTTTCAGTTGTACGGTTGGGTAAATCACCATGGCAACTGATGAACTCCTAACCTGCTCTGGACCCAATCAAAACCCGTCAACCGCCAAACTACTGACCAATCATATCACTGGAAAAACATTCCTACAGGATCCTGACAGGGACAAAAGAGGTTACAATGAAGTGATCAATAATAAAGATCAGTAGATGTTTGTATAGATCAGTGGATGATTTGCTCTTTGGTTTTAAAACAGCTTCTAACAAACAGGAGAGCTTATCTCACTGAGTCACTACATAATAACTATTAGAGCTTCATTTGAACTGAACACAGATTGTGTTTTATCTGCTTCACATGTTCACAATAATTTGTTCATCAGACTAAAGAAGAAACTTGATCATTCATCTTCTTATTTACAGTTTCTCCTCAGTCTGTCTTTAATCAGAGAAATTATTTCTTGCGTTTCTCTTCCAGTTTGTTCACATTTCACTTTATAATGTCACTATAACTGAATTCACCTGCACAGATCTGTTCCTTCTCTTATCATATTAATACTTTATTCATGGTTCTAATCAACTCTTCCTCTGTCACATGAACGAGCTCATACCTGGACAGGTAAACAGAGGTACCTGAACCAGGTGATAAGCAGCTTCACACTGCAGGGTAACAGGACGGACGATGTTATTGGGAAGAGGTCACATTAAACCTGAGCACATCCCAATGTCTGTCATGTCATCCCAACATGAAAGAATTAAAGGACAAAAAATATGAGGATTGACAGGTTTTTTACCTCCCTGCCTCTAGCATTCATCCTGTCATGATGAATGCATTTCATTCTGGAGTTGGAGGATGTTCTTTCAGTAGAATATTCATCATTTATTAAATGTAAGACCTGAAACATAGTCCAGACAAGTTCAGCAGGACACACTACACATGTGGTGTCACCTGGAAACCCTGAGAGCTGCAGCAGGGGGCGCTTTAACATAAGAAGCTGAGCCCTCACTGTGTTCACTGCACCTCAACTCAACCTGGCTGACTGTTCTCTCTCTCTCTCTCCCTCTCCCTGTCTCTCTGCTTCCATGTCTCAGGGTCCTCTGACGGACTTCTCTAAGCGTAGTCGCAGTGCTAAGTTTCGTCTCGTCCCGAAGTTCAAGAAAGACAAAAACAACAAGAACAAGGAGACTTGTGCGACTCTCTCACTGCCAGGTAAACTCGCTCTCTCCCTCTCTGTCTCTCTCTTTGTGGTCTCTGGCTCGTCACTGCTCAGGGTGTCTCTGTGAGTTTCTCTGTGCGGGGATGTTTCCTGTCTGTCTGAACCACTTCCTGTCGGTGTCTCAGTTCACCAGTGGGGGACGGAGGAGGTGGGGGCGTGGCTGGACTTCCTCTGTCTCACTGAGTATAAGGACATCTTTATCGGACACGACGTCCGCGGAGCCGAGCTCATACACCTGGAGAGGAGGGACCTGAAGGTATCACTAATCGCTCTCAGCGCTAACTGCTAAGTGCTAACCAACTGCTGCATGGAGGACTCACTGCATGACAGATGATGATGGATTGAAGCGTGTTTGAAAGATTTGTCATGTTATACATTGTCTGATAATGAGGTGTGTGTGTGTGTGTGTGTGTGTGTGTGTGTGTGTGTGTGTTAGGACCTGGGAGTGACAAAGGTGGGTCATATGAAGAGGATCCTGCAGGGCATAAGAGAGCTGAACAGGAACAGCAGTGCCAGCGAGGCCTGACTGCTGCCAGGTCAGTCAGTCATCAGGGTCAGTCTCTGTGCTGGTCCAGGATTTTATTTCTATTATATCCACGTATATGTTCATTGTACTGATCTATAAAAAACCTACAAATACAACATTTGAATAAACCTGAAGAAAAGACAACTGACTGTGAAGCAGCTGCAGACACACACCGATGAAGCTGTGGAATTAATCTTGGTCATTTCATAATTTCAAAGATCTTTTTCATGTCATATTCTGTCTGATCTGTAAAGTCCTGATCTAATCTTCAGTTGAGGGTCCAGTTAGATCGGTACAAGCCCAGAGCTAACCCTGGTCTCAGTTCACTGATCCGGCTTCTTGTTGTTGTTTTAGTGACCACTGCCTGCTCTCCTCCTACCTCTGCTGCTATTGACCACCTCATCAACCGGGACCAGGACCCAGACTGGGACACAGTTTGTCTCAATGAGTCCCGGTTCTCAAAAAATTGAACCAAACTTCCTCACAGTGAGACCACCTGAGAAACAAATCACCAATCATACGATCCGCTAGTGCCTTGTCATCTCACTCACCGACCAATCAGCATCCAGGATGTGGAAGTTGAGGGTGTAGGTGTTGTGCCTACAGAAGACCAGAGCCATATACAGACAGAGCTGAGCCAATGGAGAGAGAGACAATGTGGCTGACAGATCAGCTCAGGTCTGGCATCAGTGACTGGTCCTTGTACAATGTAAAAACATCGCCATCTTAACAGCTCCTTCACCAGTGAGTCACAGCAGCTCACTTTGTATTTTTATTGCAAACCTCTCTCCCTGATGATGATGATGATGATGATGATTATGATTATGATGTTGGGGGGGGGGGGCAATGGGGGCAATCCATTAAATGCACATCCTGTGGCCTCTAGCCTGACAGATCTTAACCAGCTTTTCCAGATCAGAAAAGCTGGTTAAGATCTGTTGTCCTGATTATTCTCTGGACTGTGGGTTAGTGCTCTGGACCAGGACCACTCAGAACAAACTGCTCTGAGAACAGCTGTAGTTTCTCTCCTAAAGCAAAGAGTCACACTGAACGTCTTTAAGATGGAGCAGTTTTCTGTAGAACACGTAAGTGTGACGCACTTCATCATTACCTCAGTAAAATGTAATGTTATGACATCAGAGTGATGTGAGTTTAGTGACACTGAAGGTTCCACATGTTAAGAGACATCTGTGTCTCTAACATGTCAGGGGTGATATGATTTCAGCTGGTCCCAGGATTCATTTGTTCATCCATGAAAAATCATCTGTCAAACATCATTCGTTCATTGACAGTCTGTTGATCTTCCTGTTTTCACAGTCACAGACTTCATCAGGTTCTTTTAACAAACACTGAAAACAGCAGGTTTACGTTCACATCAACACAAAGATTTTAGGAAGAACTTTTAAGAAGAAGATTTTTAAGAACCAGTGACTCATTAAGTTAGGGATTTTTTACAGCCTGAAAACCTTCAGCAGAGTCTCTGAGACTTCTGGACAGTTTATCACACAGGGACTAAAAGCTGATCCTGGATCCAGCAGAGTCGGGTCGACCAGGCTCCGTCTGCTGTGATCTGGGCCAAATATGAGACGGACCTGACCCAAGTCTCGATGCCAGATTTGGCCCAATTCCTGGACACGTGGACGATACCGGATCAGGCCTGAGGACCAGCTCCAGGATTCTGGTGCATCACCACATCGGTCACAAGTCCAACATGACTCTGGAAACCACACGTGCCAGATCTAAGCCCCTGTTGTGCCAGTCAGTTTCAGCTCTCGGTTACCTACCTGCTCACCTCACCAGCCGACAAATCAGAACCTCCTCTGGTCCCTGACATGTTGGACCAGGAAGCAGCAGAACCCTTTAAATCTTTTGACAATTCAGCTGCTTTAGAGGAAAATTTACTAGACCAGTTTAATGTCCCCAGTCCTGATGGGACCTGATGGGACGGACACCTGAGGGTTTTTGAGTTATGGTCCTTCCTGCACACCTGGTAGATGCAGGATCACCTAGCAGACTGAAGGACTGAAGTTTGAACTAAAGTCCATATTTATTTCTTCTATAAAGTTTAGTTGATATTTAGAGTTCAGTCCTTGAAAAACAGGAAGTGATATAATTGACGAGGAGGCGTCAGGAGAGACGCTCCTGAACCAATCGGGTGGTCTGATGGAGTCTCTGCAGGGACAATCAAGTCAGCCATGAAATGAGCTGCATTTCCTGTCTGAGGATGTTTCCACCTGTCTGTCTATCTGTCTGTCTATCTATCTGTCTGTTTGTCTCTCTCTCTGTCTGCTTTCTGTCTGTCTCTCTCTCTGTCTGCTTTCTGGCTGTCTGTCTCTCTCTCCCCCTCCGTCTGACTCTCTCTGTCTGTCTGTCTGTCTGTCTGTCTGTCTGTCTCTCTCTCTCTCTCTCTCTCTCTCTCTCTCTCTCTCTCTCTGCAGGTTTGTTATCTGGTGTTGAGTTTGTGTCTCAACAAGACCTTTAAACCATCAGTTGAGGGTCCAGATGTGTCAGAGTCCAGATGTTTCAGGATTCAGATGTTGTTGTTGTTTAAATCTCATTCAGTCTGGTTGGAGTGAAGCTTTTTGTCAGATTCATCTTTGTTGAGATGAACCAGACTAAACTCTGGACCTGGACATTGATCTGGGTCTGAACCTTAATTCCAGCTGATATAATAAGTTGGATAATATGGACAGAAGATTCAGCAGTGACAGTTAATGAGTCTTTTATCCAGTGAATTCCTGCTGCTGGTTTCTGGTTTGCCTTTCAGACCAAATGAGCAGTTTCTCTGATTGAAAAGCTGGCTGATGTTTTCCTGGACACGAAGTCTGGAAACTGGTATTCCAGCCTGATCCTGTTCAGTGAGCACACAGCAGTCTCACAACCAGACACACTAAGTAGATGTCAGTGTTCTGTGTTGTGTTGTAATGTCATAACAACATATTCATTCAATAATTTTCTTGGAGGTGACTCCTCTGCAGTGAAACCCTGTGATGTGAATTGCATTCAAATGTTCACAGGAAGCTTGTGACCTTCATCAGCAGCTGGTTCCAGGTCAGTTTGAACTGAGGTGAAACAAACCGCTGTGGTCAGCTGACATTCCTCCTCCTTTAAACATGTAACTTACAGATTTTGATGAAACCACAATCAATGAGACGATGCCTTAAATTTCCCATCGATCACATATCTGCCAGTCAGACCTCAGCTTCACTCTGCTCAGTGTCAAACAGGAAATATATTTTATTACTGAATAAACAGTTGCTGCCTTAAGTCGCTTTGCCTCACGACATAACTCACTGTGTTTGACTGAAACTGACATCGTAATGATTTTAGTTCAAGTTTAATTCAAGTGGTTGGATTTCAGTTTTATTTGTTTATAATGTGGCAAACATCAAAACTGGTTGAACAAGTTATCTTGATCATGTCGTGTATGTATCTCCATCACGTGTAAACAGGCTAATAATCTAAGTTCACATCATGGATCAAGATATATACATACATCTTGTTTTTACATGTTTGTATCTTGTTCACAGAAGATTCATATCCTGTAAAGTTATTACCTAAAATGTAGGAGCTCGGAGGCTCAGAGAGAAGCTGATATTTAGTTTTAGAAACAGCTGTATGATCTTCACTCTGCGAACAGATGTCACTGCAGCAGCAGTGTGACTGTTCTACCTTAACAGACTGTGCAGGTGTTTGACAAATGTAGTAGAGTTCAGATTGTGTAGCGATATAACTTGTAATGTGCTAACATCTGTTAGCTTCCCACAGCATTATGCTGCAGTCAGACCATATTTACATTTCTGACCAATAACAGATGTGTCAGTGAAACACATTGGTGCCTTGCTCGAGGGCCGGGGTTCATCCTCGTTTGTTTGTCCCACATGTTAAACATCCAGTAAACTGTCGTTTCTGATCCATCCTGTCTATTTATTAGATAATTTATGCATTAACAATGATACTGTAAGCTGTCATACCTCTGTTTGTACATACGCCCCCTGCAGGGCCGTCAGTGTAAATACATTCTGTCTTGTACAGAAAAAAACATACAAAATCTGTAAGAAATAAAGTTGATTTCTCCACTGTTGAAACAGCTTCTACCTTTTCTTCTCTCTGGCTCTGTTCAGAGCTGGTATCGACATCCGTCTCAGGTGATCTGATCACAAGTGGACAGCCCTAAGTTCAGGTGTGAACGCACCCAGATGCATTGAGGACGCATTTGAGATCCGATCACTCAGACCACATTCAGAGGTGGTCTGGACCACATGTGTCCACATTCTTTAGCAGTGTCAACACAAATGTGCCTTGGACCACATTGAAGGACCAACTATTCTACTGAGGTCCTCTGCCACAGTCTGATTAGTCCCAACATGGTTTCATCATGAACCGAAAATATCTTATTATTACCTAGTTTTGGTTTGGTCTGTGGCTGACGAACAGCTGAGGATCCAGGTTCACCACAGACTGATTGCAGGACTCACAACGCACAACACAACACTACAAACCAGTCAGGTAGTTACATGTTTGTGAATAACCTGCAGACACTGATTCCCCCTTGTGGACAGATCATAGTGCTGCTTTTCCTTTCTGTCCTGTCTGACCATAATGTTCATCTGCCACCTAACCAGCCTGGAAACACATTTCACAGAAAATCTACTTGACATGGACAAATGCTAAAAATGTGATGCTGAGCGGAAATAAATCCACTATTGCAAACATCCATAGGTCACGCAGAAACTCCCATTCACTTAAATCCAGGGAAGGTTTGGGATTCTTTCCGTCACTAAAACTGGATCGTCTGATTACAGTGATAGTGTCAATGAACCTTAGTTAAAGAAGAATATCAATGTCTCTTGACATATGTGAAAAGTTTCTGTCTGTAGAGGTCTGATCTGGAATGAGAGGTGGGGGTATGCTTACATAAAATCCTGGTTCTCTGTCAAGGTACAACATACTACATGCTTCCAACATGTTTTGAACTGTTAGCTTTACGATTCAGTCTCTGTAGTGGGCGATTATAGACCCCCATCCACAGCCCCCTCTGCCAGAGATAAATTGGCTCAATTTGTCAATTTTGTACTTTAGGGTTCCTAATCCTGGTTGACCTCAACCTACTTCATTATAGGCAAGGTCAAGGAGAGAAAATGGCACAAAACCAATGACCCTGCTGACCTCTTGGCTTATGAGTCACTCCTAGCCTCTTTCTCATCCAACATCAGGACTGCCAAAACTGCTTTCTACAATGATAAACCTTAGACACTTGGAAACAATTTTACACCTTTAAAACCTTAGTTAATCCTCCACAACCCCCACCAGACACAAACCTCTCAGCCAATATTCTGCCTCCTTTTTCACCTCCATTGTTCAAGCAGTCCCACGTGATATTCTTCACTGGATTCTGCTTTCAAACTGGCTCAGGTAACAGCTCTGCTCAAAAACCCTCACTTGACCCTGCTCAAGTGGAGAACTGTAGAACTGTCTCCTTGCTTCCATTCTTATCTAAGTGTATAGAGAGGGTGTTTTTTAAGCAGGTCTCAATATTCTTGTCACAGTCCAATCTCGATCTCAATTCAAATCAGTCCGGCTTTGAGAGTGAACACTCCACTGAAACCGCCCTGTTGTCTGTGACAGAAGCTCTAAAGGTAGCTAGAGCTGCAGATCAGTCCTCAGTTCTTATCTTGCTGGACCTCTCAGCAGCCTTGGTGAATCACCACATTCTGCTATCCACACTCTCCAACATGGGCATCTTGGGGAAAACCCTTTCTTGGTTTGAATCCTATCTCACTTGGTGCTCTTTCAGTGTGTCATTGCAAGGTAAAATGTCCTTAGCCCATTCCCTCCCCACCGGAGTGCCCCAAGGATCGGTTGTGGGACCCCCCCTCTTTGTAATATACACCACCTCCTTGGGCCTAATTATCTGCTCACATAGCTTCTTATGTCACTGCTATGCAGACAACACCCAACTATACCTGTCATAAACTAACCTGCCTAAACCTGTCTAAGACTGAACTTCTAATCATGTCATCAGTCTTTTCATCACAATATCAATATCAAAATTGCCTCTACATCCTTTACAACCAACTAACAAGAAACCTGGTTGTCATGTTTGATGACCAGCTTTCTTTCAGTTGTGCCACTTTGCTCTATGCAACATCAGAAAAATCAGGCCTTACTTGACTCAGTACTCCACCCAACTCTTGGTGTAGGCCATGGTTATCTCTCGCAACGACTACTGGAAATTCTTTTCTGGCGAGGCTTCCTTTGTGCAAAGTGAAACCCTTACAAATGGTCCAGAATGTGGCAGCACGTCTGGCTTCAATCAGCCCAAAATACACTGAATGTCATTTAGACGCCTAAGAAACAAGCACATAGCTGCAGTTAGGGCTTCTACATTCAACTTAGACTTAATTCCAAACTCCTGTTCAGACCTGGCCAAATCCCGGAAGACAGCTAAAAAGAACAAAGGCACTACTCCTTTTCCCCCCGACCTCAAATTTGATGGTTGCTTAGTTTAACAACCAAATTGGTCTGATCATCTTTTAATAAACATTTAGTTGCTACTGCACAATGATCTGCAGTTAACCAGCTAATAACCAGCTGAAGTCATTCCTATCAGTTTTAGAGCTAATCACAGCACCATCTCAGCTGGGACACTAATATCAAACGATTTGATCACCAGTTTAGACCACCAACACTGTGCCGCTATAGTCATAGATTTAGCGAAAGCATTTGATATAGTTGACCATTCTCTCCTTATCTCTACTGATATCAACAGGCATGCCACAGGGAGCCATTATGGGTCCTGTTAACATTTATCAATTGTCTCTTCCCTGCATGGTTGTCAAAGTTATCTTTATGCAGATAACACTATTTTTTTACTGTATTTCCAGTTGACACACAAACAACAACTCTCACTGTACATTGCAATACTCTCTTACCAACCTTAAGATGACACTTAATGCATCCATCCATCCATCTATGCATCCATTTTCCTCCACTTATCTGGGGTCGGGTCATGGTGGCAGCAGGCTAAGCAGGGTATTCCACACGTCCCACTCTCCAGCAATGTTTAACAGCTCCTCCTGTAGGATCCCGATGCATTGGGATACGTATCCCAGATGGTATATGTAATCCCTCCAGCTAGTTCTGGGTCTAGTCCAGGGTCTCCTCCCAGTTCGACATGCCCAGAGAACCTCCAAAGGAAGGTGCCCAGGAGGCATCCTAATCAGATGCCCGAACCGCCTCAACTGGCGCCTTTCAACATGAAGGAGCAACAACTCTATTCTGAGCGCCCTCCAGATGTCCGAGCTCTTCACCCTATCTCTAAGGCTAAGCCCAACCACCCTACAGAGGAAACCCATTTCAGCCGCTTGTCTCATTCTTTCAGACACTACAACATGCACACTACAATTTGATGCAAATAAAACAAAATTCATGTTTTTTTCTCTTTCCCTGGACTACTATAATCTACCCATCTCTACTGGTTTATATTACCAAGAAGGTTACAGAATACAAATACAAATATGGCAAACAAATTAGCGAAATCAGTTTTCCTTTGATCTCCAGGAGGAGGATCATTGAATCAGTTTTCATATCAGTTCTGGAGTATGGGGATGTAGTGTACAGACATGTTGCTGCCTCCACATGTAGGCCTTTAGATTCTCTTTAACACTCAGCCCTGAGGTTTATTACTAGTGAAAGCTACAACTCTCTCTACTGTATCCTCTGTGATAAGCTCAGATGTCTTCTCTCACAGTGATGTAAGAAGCATTGTATCTGTATATCTATAAAGGCCTGGTTGGAAAATTACCATCACACATCACTTCTATGACACTGGCAGCCTATCACTCTATCTCCCGCACCAACTACAACTCCTTACCCACCGAACCGTCACATTCCACGTACCTAGAGCTAGTCTATGAAGCCTGGGATCGATATGCCCAGACCCTGCCTGGTTTGCATTGCACCCTGACCCTCCATTCAGGAGGTGGGCCCACAGGGAGGTGACTCCATATAATTTCTTTGGCCTGTGCCTTACTGGGCTTTATGGGCCAAGGCCTGGTCACCAGACACTTGCTGCAAGTTCCCCTCCCAGGTTTGGCTTGAGCATGCCCCAGTTTCCTTTAGTTGTCCTTTAATTTGACAAACTAATATCTTTAAAATGTCTTCATATCGAGGCGTCGAGTAGCTCAGTTGGTTGAGCATCCGCCACATATGCAGAGGCTAAGGTCCTCGCTGCAGTTGGCCCCAGTTGGAGTCCCGCATCAGACGGCCCTTTGCTGCATGTCATTCCCCCTCTCTCTGCCTCCCCATTTCCTGTCTCTCTACTGCACTGTCAATAAAAGGCATAAAAGGCCCAATTATAATTAAAAACTAGAAAATTCCAGGGAAATTTTGAGTGCCACGGGGGCTACTGCCGGGATAGGGTTAGGGTTAGGGTAAAAAATCTTCTCTGTGTCACTGTAGTGATGACATCACGCAGCCCCTGGCTGTCAGAGGTCAGGTCAGGAGCTGCCATTGCCATGGCAATGTGAAAATCTGCCCAGAATTTGGCTTCTACATGGCTTCAAACAATTGCAAATTATGAGAAAACCGTTACTTCTTTTCAAAAACCGAAAACACCGTGAGAGACACTGAAGCCAGAAGTTTCTTATAGTCTCTATTTTATTCAGATATTCCTTAAAATGAGTGAGTAAGCTCAGTGCGAAGACAGAGTGAGATTCTTTTGAAAGAAAAAGACGATTACATTAGGTGTCAATGAGAGTGAGACAGGTATTGCTGCCGGACTCGGCACCCCGTTTAAATTTTGTGCAGACCCTGCCTGTCAAAGTTACATTTTATGAATCCCAACAACTATGTCTACATTTTCAGAAAGAATTATTTGTCTCCTTTTTACGGTTTGGCCGTGAGCTCAAGTTAAAAATAAAAATAAAGGTTATATTTTACTGCTTCACGCACTCTAGCCAACTGACGCTGTCACTCTAACTTTGAAGAAAAAGTGATTTGCACTCCTCCTTTGAGTGCTCATAGTTTGAAAAGTTTACATGTTATGTAAAAACAGTTGCTGTGTTTTGGAGAGAGCAGAAGTTTTCCTCCGTTTTATAGTTTGAATCACATTTCTACGTGCAGGTATGAGAGAGCTAGGTGACTCAGAAAAAAGGTGAAATTTTGTGGGTTTCTAAAGAAAATTCCAATGCATTCCTAATGCATTATTTATTCCCAGTACTTTGGGAATAACTTTGGGAAAAATTGGAATTTTAACACCAAAAGTCATAGCACCTCTTTCGGGATCAAGACGCACGTTTTGATGTATATATTACTGGGGTTTTCTCAAAGCTGCAGGACGAGTTACGCGCCAAAATTTGGCGAAAGAATAATAATAAGCCCGAAAGAGAATATTAATAGATGCCTCGGAGCTGAGCACCCGTGGCACTAATTAATATGATATATCATCATTGATTAATTGTTTAGATTTTTTATTGATCATCTGAAAGAGTAACTAGAACTTTAAAATAATGTACTGCAGTTGAAATATATAACCATACTCAGTTACTTAGTACGCTGACCTCTTACCTCCGACCCTGTGCAAACTCCTTGATGTCAACTTCAGCTCTGTCTTGCAGGATCATAGAAGGCGTTGTGACCTTTGTCCCCCTCTTCACCTCCTGTTGAGGTTTGTGATGTCAACGGAAAGTCCCTCCCCTCTGTTATTCACTCAGTCTCCTGCGGTGTCCTCTGAGCTGTTGATGTGACGTCTCTGTTTCAATATTTGTATTCAGGGGAAAGATCAATCAAACAGCTTCATCTCCTTCCTCCATTTTACTTCCAAAACAGACACGTCTGTCCTCGCAGGAGACACCAGCACACGACAGGAAACGACAGGAGACAAGAGGAGAACACAGGAGACGACAGCAGACAACAACAGACGACAGGAGACAGCAGCAGACAATAAGAGACAACAGGAGAATAGGGGAGACAGCAAGAGAGAACAGGTAGGTGGACTTACAGCCCAACAGAGTGACAAATAGAGGTTCAACTTCCAAGTCAGGGTCCTAGTCTGAGACTAGGAGGAGGAACAGGAGGAGGAGGAGGAGAAGAGGAAGAGAACAGTTGAGGGAGAGAATAGGACAATGAACAGGAGGAGGAGGAGGAGAAGGAGAGTGTGGACCACTCATGAAAAACAGCACTTAAAATGGTCTTGTGTATTTTGTATCATTTCATGTTGTATTCTGATTTGTTGGTTTGTAGTGTTGTAGTAAATTTTCACTAAAATATACAATGCATTACAAATATACTGAATGTTAGACTTATATATACAATGAAATAGCTATATTCACAACTGAGGTTAGATTTGCATGTGAACCAGCTTTTGCTGAAGTAGGATTGTTATAGAATGGAACCTGGAGGGAATAAAGTAAAAATGGTCTGAAGGGCCTGGGAGCAATGGTGTTGGAGTAGCAGCCTTGGCGAGACCTAGGTTGGGGATAGATAGGAGACTTCTGGACACCTGGCACCACCACTATACCCTGGCAGGCCTGGTTTGGGGAAATTCAACGCAGGATTGGACAGCATTGTTCCCATGGTGTTGATAGGTTCGCTTTAGAAAATAGGGGGAGAGCCCACTTAAGAAGGAACTATATATGATGGTGCATAGGCAATCTGTCTTCAGTTCAGTTCTGGATCTGATCTCGCTTTTATTCTTGTGAAAGAATAAAATTCTATTGCATTGGACTCTGACCATCTCCAGTGACTTCTTTTTTGAATCTTTTTTGACTCCAGTAAGAGTGCAGCTTGTTGAAAGTTAAGTGTTGGTGAAGAGGTGTAGACTTACAGTATTAGACTCTGGCCCGTACCTGGACTTTTTTCTCCACCAGTAAACGCATTCTCATTGGTTGGTTTGTATATGTATTCTGATTAGTTGGTTTCTAATTGGTTGGTAAGATATTCACACTGACACACACTTACATGAACACACTGACACACACTTACATGTACACACTGACGCACACTAACATGTACACACTGACGCACACTAACATGTACACAGTTACACACTATAACATGTACACACAGAGACACATTCTAAAATGTGCACTCTGACACAGACTAAGATGTACACACTGACACACACTCTTACATGTGTATCAACACACAGGTAGACTGACACACCCTCTAACATGTACACACTGACACACACTAACATACACACAACATGTGAACAGTTAATAATGTAATAATGTCATGGTGTAAGAGGTGACTTGGTTTCAGGTGTTCTGTGTTGAAGAAGTTTAAATGTGACCTCATGATGGCACTGCATGTAAAACCAGGATCACTACAGTTATTCCAGTTCATCCTGAGGGCAGCATGAATATCTGATCCACATCTCAATCTGTTATCTCTGTCCAGCTGTCCATCTCTCACAGGTTGATGAGACGCTTCAGTCTGGACCAGTGGAGGACTGACAGAAATGTAGTGTATAATATACACACCATTACAACACATCACACACATGTTCAGCTGTGTTTACGTTGATGTTTAGAACACAGACTCACTGACTGTCAGTGTGAAACCTGAATCTGATGAACATAAACCTGGTTCCTGAGTGGACCTGACAGTTAGGATCTTCTCTCATTGCCTTTGTCCACACAGAAAAACATGCTGCTGCCATCCATAGCTTTGACTTTGACTGTCTGCACCCTGCTGATCAGCTCTGAGCTCATCCAGTGTACAGGTGAGACTCTTCAGAACTAAAGATATGACGTCAAACATTTCGGTCACAAAGATAGTCTCCTTTCATTCCACTGTGTTGTTATTATTTATATACTTTGTCCTCCCCTCAGTGTTCCTGGATCATTCTACAGCGAGTCAGATCCTTCGCTTGCCCTCCTCCTCCAGGAGGCGTCGGGCCAACTCCTTCTCCCTGGAGGAGATGTTACCAGGGAACCTGGAGAGGGAGTGCTACGAGGAGAGCTGCTCTCAGGAGGAGGCCGCAGAGATCTTCCAGACCAAAGAAAAGACGGTACAACCACTGAGGGTCTTCATATGTGTGAATCCAGTCAGATCAGAAATCCAGTCGAGCATTTACCTCAAACCCACAGTCTTATGTCCAACCTCTTTTATATGATATGGAAGAATTCCTGTTAATATTTCTATCAGAGTGTTTTAAAATGGTCCCTGTCCACAGAATACAGCCACTAACTCTGTGTTAATCTGTTATCAGCTACATTGAACAGTTTAACTTTCATTAAATCCAAAATCTCAAAATGTAAGTTACATGCTGCCCAGGTGGGGATGGGGGGTATTTTTGTTCTATCTTGCATGTATAATACTTAAATGTTGGCTTTGGAAATAATAAACAAAAATATAGCAGACACATAAAGAAAAAGCCTGAGGTCAGCGGTCACAGGAGCCACTGTACTGTAGATCTTTAACTCTGAGTGTTGTTTGTCCCACAGCTGGAGTTTTGGTACAGATACACAAGTGAGTACAAAATGATCATTAACTATCAATAATTATGAAACTAACTGACTGACTAACTGACCCAGATGTTCATATGGTTCATATTAACTTTGCTGCCTCCTCTGCTGCTGAAGACTCAGGTCCACATGTGACCACAACAAGAGCAAGAGCTGACAGCTATTCTGGAGCTTTCTATACTTTTCCATGATCTTAATCAGCAGATGGAGTCATCAGTATATACTGTACATTTACTTTCATCTGAAATCATTTCAACTGATCTAAATTCAATCACAACAGACTTTAACTATTTAAATTTCACTTAAATCATTCCATCCACCTGATGACATCACTCTACCTGTATGAATGAGTCATGCTGTGTTCGAGTGTTTCTCCTGTGTGTCATAGATCTGAACCGCTGTCTAATCAACCCCTGTATGAACGGAGGGATCTGCACTATGGACCGAGGAGACTTCATGTGTCTCTGTCCTCCTCAGTACCATGGCAAGATATGTGAATCAGGTAAACATCACCAGAGATCTTAGAGTGTACAACAGGACACTTGAGAAACACGTCCATCATCAGGTTCAGTCCTGTCTCACAGGTAAACTTCATCATGTGGACATTAGTGAAATGCTTTCTAGATCCAGAACCTGAAGAGCCCCTCAGTGCACTGTCCTGACGCCAGTAGCCTTTTATTTTATATTAAATATTCAAAATTCCCCAAATCAAACTTTCACTTTCACTTTGTTATATTATGGCTCCTAAAAGGATCACCCCCCTGCTCCTACACCACCAACCAACACACACATGTACAGGTTAACAAAGGGTTCATATCAATATCAATATGCCAGAGTATCAATAACCTGATTATCAATACAGCAGATTATCAATAACCTGGATATCAATACGCCGGAGTATCATTAACTAGATATCAATGTGCCAGAGCATCAATAACCTGGATATCAATACACCAAAGTATCAATAACCTGAATATCAATACTCCAGAGTATCAATACCCTGAATATCAATACTCCAGCATATCAATAACCTTATTGAAAATACAAGAGTATCAATAACCTGATTATCAATACACCGGAGTTTCATGACCTGAAAATCAATACACCAGAGTATCAATAACCTTGATATCAATACACCAGAGCATCAATAACTTTATATCAATACAACAGAGTACCAATAACCTTGATGTGTGATATTGATATTATAGTAACAATTGGATTTGTACTGTGTGTAGTGGTGTTGGAGTGTCGCTATAGAAACGGAGGCTGTGTGCAGTACTGTAGGGATCTGACAGGGGGAGGTGAAGTTCAGTGTGGCTGCGCTGAGGGATTCAAATTGGAGCCGGATGGACAGAGCTGCTCCTCGACTGGTAACTAATGTTACTACTGTAACTACTGCACATTATACTACTGTTACTTCTGTAACTTCTGCACATTATACTACTGTTACTACTATAACTTCTGCACATTATATCAATGTTACTACTATAACTACTATACATTATGCCACTGTTACTACTATAACTATTGTACATTATACCACTGTTACTACTATAACTACTGCACAGTTTACTACTGTTAGTACATGATGAGCCTGGATGATGAGGTTTCCTTAGTTCAGAGTCAGTCTTTGCGTCCTGTCCCTTTCCAGTGTTGTTCCCGTGTGGTCGCCAGCAGATGCATATGTTGTACCGTGGTCGCTCTCTGTGGGACGTCTCTGAATGGGACAACATCACCATGGAGACACACAGCAACATCACTGAAGACTGGGACCTTAGACTGAATTTTACAGAGACAGAGGAGGAGAGGATGACAATGAACTCCACATCAAGACAGAACAGAAGAAATGACACTTGGCTGATGGGGGATGAGAGGGAGGGAGGTGAGGCTGGGGGAGAAGAGGAGGAGAATGACAAGGTGACAACTCGTATTGTGGGTGGAGTCCTAGAGAAACCAGGAGGGAGTCCCTGGCAGGTGAGGAAGACATTCTGAAAATCAGTTACTTTAAGTGTGACTGATAGCATAATAATAACTAGAAAATTCATGGAGAAATTTTGAATGTGCCTGCTGCTTGGTGCGTCTACTTCACTACTCACATTTCAGTCTGTACAAAGGACATTACTCTCAGTTTCATTCATGTTGTAGAGACTTATCCTGACACTGACCTCAGTCAAAACCATTTAAAGCTGTCACGACTGGCCAAAATAACCTCTCACTAATGGTTTCAAACCCAAATTTGTCCCCACAACCATAGCAAGACATGTATACACACATGCACATGCACTAACAGAAGTGCAATAAAGCACTACCACTATATCCCCATACAGACGATAGCTTATAACATCAAACTTTTATCACCTATCTTACCTCTTACCTTTTCGAGACTCTTATTTTGAAAGTGTATCCATCTCGTGGAGATGGCTTGTGTCTGTAAATGTCTGTGCTTCTGTGTTTGGCAGTATACATTGCATAAGGTTTTGTACAACAGAGCCAATAATTTCCTCTTACCATGTTGAAACTTTAATTTTGAAGGTTAATCCAAATCGTGGAGATGGTGTTTGTGTGTTTCTGTCAATGTGTGTGTGTGTGAGTTGAGCTCCGTCTCCCGCAAAATCATATCATCATATCAAAGCTGTATTTTTAAATCGTCAAGTACCCCTAACAGGATATCGGTCTTGATGAGTAATTCTGTAGACTACAAAGAGATATGTTTGAGATGATTTCTACACCTATCCAATGTTAACAATGAGCGCTATAGGTTACTGCTATTAATTATCACATACTTCAGGCACGTAGTCTCTAACAGCACTATCACCATCTGACATTCAGTGCACACTTCATACAAACAGACTTTCAGCTATTAAGTGATTATTCAGCTTATTGATATCTTAAATTAAAGTTTCTACTGTTAAGGATGCAGTTCATCTTTTGGTTACTAATACAAATGATTACTTCTTCATTAGATTCAATTTTTAAGGCATTTTATTCCTACTTCCCCCTTTGGCAGTAAATAATTTGGCTTTCAACTGTTTCAACAACATGTATCAATTCTCACCTTTTGCAGCTAATAGACTTCAGCTCCTCCAGTTTCATATTTGGCATCTAATTTTTCAAAGCACTTCAGTACTTCAGTTAATATGAGCTGCTTTTTCAATTATTTTAGCATTGTGTCAGAAATCTCCTTCAGGTGTGACATTACAACTTTTGCTTGTAAGTTTCTTCTTTCTTAAGGTTTTCTTCTCAGCCAAATTAGGCCATTTGGCTTTCAACTAACCTGTTTTTCTGTATTTTACATTTTGTATAATTTGTACAGTTTTGTTCTGTTTGTTACACTTTCCATCAACAACTCAGGCCTTTTTCAACTATTTCAGAACATTCAACATCTAGCTTACAAGTTTTGCTTTTAATCTTCATCCATTGATTCATCTACTTCAGCAGTTGCTTCAGCAGCTGCTTCAGCTTCTTCAGCATTGCTTCAGCAGTTGCTTCAGCTACTTCAGCTCTCAGTATTCACACGCATTTTCAGCAGGAAATTGATTTTCTAGTTATTTCATAGTTTCTATAGATATTCGATTATATTGTTATTGTGAATTCTTGTGGCCAGGATACTGGTGTGGTGATCTGGTTGTAATCAGTAATGGCTAATTAAAGGGGCTTATACCGTCAGGTGCATCTCCTAGGTTTGTAGAGATCTTTCTGTAAAACTGGGAGAGAGGAGGACTGACTGAACTGAATCAAATGTGTGCGTGTGTTCAGGTTCTGATCCACAGGTCTGATGGTTATGGTTTCTGTGGAGGGACTCTGGTTTCTGATCGCTGGGTCGTCTCTGCTGCTCACTGCTTTGAAGAGTCTGCAGACCACGTGACTATAGGTGTGTGTGTGTGTGTGTGTGTGTGTGTGTAGGAGACTATGATAAGCAGCGTCTTGATCCAGGTGAGTAGCTGATAAAGATCCAGAGGGTCTTTGTTCATCCTCACTTCACACAGTATAGCAATACTAAGTGTTATTCTACACAGTCATCACTGCTTCACTTCACTACTTTCTGGAGTCATTCAAATGAATTTACAAAAAAAGCCAGATACAGATAAAGTAGCTGTTCACAGATCCAGATCATGATATAATACATTCATTCACCAGTGATGAAAACATGAATGCATCAATAATTTTAATCCTGTAATAGAATATTAATATAAATCTGTAATGGGCCATTCTGCATAACAAGCACTTTTGATTCTGGTACTTTGATGTAAGCGTCACAGGTTCAAAGCCTAGTCAGTGGTTTAAAGTGAAGAAGACACTTTAACATTACATGTGGAAACCGTCATTATTGATGTATTCATCTCCATATAAATATGGGACAGTGAATACAGACATTCTGAGTCATGTGTACTACACTGACCTTAGTTCTGGTTAATGATTTACTGGTTTGACATGTAAACAAACTGTAGATGCCAGCAGGTGACGCTGTACACACAGGTGAAGAAAGGCTACACTGTAGTGTATCAGGTCTGAATTCTCCTGATACTAATGTCCTAATGTGTGTGTGTGTGTGTGTGGTGTGTGTGTGTGTGTGTGTGTGTGTGTGTGTGTGTGTGTGTGTGTGTTTGTGTGTGTGTGTGTGTGTGTGTGTGTGTGTAGGAAACTATGATAAGCGGCGTCCTGATCAAGGTGAGCAGCTGATAAAGATCCAGAGGGTCTTTGTTCATCCTCACTTCCACTCCTTCACCTTCGACAGTGACATTGCTCTGGTCTACCTCGCCCAGCCCGTCCTTAGGGGCCCCACAGCCGTCCCCGCCTGTTTGCCAGACGCCCACCTATCCAAGTACCTGCTGAAGGTAGCTTCATTTATCACACTGACCATTTTTGTGTGTGTGTGTGTGTGTGTGTGTGTGTGTGTGTGTGTGTGTCTGTGTGTGTGTGTGTGTGTGTGTGTGTGTGTCTGTTGAACAGACCTGCAGATGTCACTGTGTCTGTGTTCAGGAGGATAACCGGGGGGTGGTGACGGGCTGGGGGCTCACTCGGTTCATGGGCAGGTCCTCCCGGTTCCTGAGGAAGGTGGCACTCCCAGTGGTCAGCTACAAAGACTGCACTGCGTCCACTGAACAGGTGATCAGCTCCACCTGAGAGCACCTACACTACACTTCACCTGCAGGTGCAGTAACTCAGTACGTTTAACTAACTACTGTTCTGAGGTATTTGTACTTTACCTGAGTACTTTCAAGTTCTACTAATTTATACTTTATACTACTTTACTGCATTTCATTGTATTTTTACTACACAATATTTAATTATCATCTGCAGAGATTTTACACGTGACCATAAAAATGAGGCTTTGTTATTGATTTATCTGTTAACTTTACCTTTATGATATGATATGATATGATATGATATGATATGATATGATATGATATGATATGATATGATTTGATCTGGTCTGGTCTGGTCTGGTCTGGTCTGGTCTGGTCTGGTCTGGTCTGGTCTGGTCTGGTCTGGTCTGGTCTGGTCTGGTCTGATCTGATCTTGTTTGGTCTTGTCTGGTCTGATATGATATGATATGATATGATATGATTTGATCTGGTCTGGTCTGGTCTGGTCTGGTCTGATCTGGTCTGATATGATATAATCTGGTCTGTTCTGTTCTGTTCTGGTCTGGTCTGGCCTGGTCTGGCCTGGTCTGGTCTGGTCTGGTCTGATATGATATGATATGATATGATATGATTTGATCTGGTCTGGTCTGGTCTGGTCTGGTCTGGTCTGATCTTGTTTGGTCTTGTCTGGTCTAATCTGGTCTGATATGATATAATCTGGTCTGTTCTGTTCTGTTCTGGTCTGGTCTGGTCTGGTCTGGTCTGGTCTGGTCTGATCTGGTCTGATATGATATGATCTGGTCTGTTCTGTTCTGTTCTGGTCTGGTCTGGTCTGGTCTGGTCTGGTCTGGTCTGGTCTGGTCTGGTCTGGTCTGATCTGGTCTGATATGATATAATATGATCTGTTCTGGTCTGGTGCAAGGTAGCACTTGTTTTGAATGTATGCAACTTTGGTTTTTGGATGTAAGGGAATGTCTACCTTAGGTAAACTGCTGACCTTTGAGGTGAGCAGGATGCAAGAGGATCCATTACACATCTGGATTTTTTGCTATATCGTTGTCTGTGGTTTATCTACATCATCCAGAGACTTTAGTTATGCATCCTCTTACCTTACCTTTTTTGCCCTCTCTGTGAAGAATGAGATGTGATTAAATGGAAACATGCACAAAGAAGTATTTTATGAATTACAATTGGATTATAGAAACTAAACTGAATGAAATTTAATGAGTGACTAATGGGGAAACATTGTTGCATCTGCACCCAAACCAACCTATGAATGTTGGCTAACATAAATCATGTTATGAGTACAATAGAGAAAAAGATAAAGGAAATATAAAGTAAATAACGTGAGGTCATGTCAAGATTCGTTTGCCAAAATTGAGTGACGTGAGACATACATGTAGCAATAAGCGGTGTATGTCAAGATTTGTTTGCAAGCATAGGGAATGAGAGATACATTCAGCATTAAGCGGTGTATAAATATTCATTTGCCAAAATAGTGGACGCAAGATAGAGCCAAGATGCGTTTAAAAGGAAGAAGAGAAATGTGAAATGTTCGAATAGTCCATCAAGAATCTAGAAAAGAAAATAACCTGAGACACACAGGTTATTAAAAGACAATGTAAACATCTTGTTTGATCTCAAAGTGAGCATTGTCATATCATAGGATGGTATAAGTCAACTGCATACTTTGGGTGTACATGCAATGAAGCCAAATTAATTATCACCAGCTAACATACCTTCAATTTGTGCATTTATAGGCCTATGTATATTTATTGCTGTAAAATTGCTTATTTTGAAATATGCATGGAAAGTACATCATGGGGCAACAGACCAGTAAACCATCTTGTCAAACTTGAATACTTAAAAGAAGATCTAAACATGCTTTGCCACAAAAGGAAAGGAGAATTGTATTGAAATTACTAAAAATGAACCCCCAAAGAAAGTATAGAACAAGCCAGCTGATGGAATGACTCCACGTGAATGGATTCATAATAAAATTGGCTTATGTTATGATGAACCATATTAGACTAATTTGGATAATTGGACAGAAGGTAGATATCTGTTCCAGGGAAGTTTTGAGAAGGATAAGATAGATCTAGTCCGGAAATCTTTAATTGATAATGAAGATGTAGTAGATCCAAATTGGGATTTAACTTATATGAGAGAAGTTTTTAATGCTTGGGAATTGCTGAATACACAATTGCTAATGTTAATAAGACACAGGAAAAGAAAGAAAAACATAAAATCAAGGCTTTAATGATGACACAGGAACTTATGAGTGGGAATAAAAACAGGAACTTTCTGCTTGTGTTACGCAGCCTGATCCGGTTGTGTCCCGTCCTTCAACTAATAGCATGAAGATAGACACAGATTGTATGTGTGATAGGATGCAAGAAAAGACTAACGAGCCTGTTTTTGTGCAGAGTGTGGGTAAGTGTTATGTGCTGATATACCCAGCATTGTCACAGTTAATGCAACCTCCTGCTTATAAGGATGTGCAATGTGATGATGATTAGGAAATGTGGATGTTTGCTCAGGATGAAAGATGAGTGTATGGTGCAAGCATGAGAGAGCAGAAGTGTGGAAGGGTGTTTCCAGCTGTAATCTTTCCTAAAGCAGACACTCTGAGTGGACAGGCTGCTGTCTGGAGAGGACGGTGTGTGCAGCTGTGGTCTGGGAATTGTGAGAGTGTTTGAAACAGCAGAGGGAAAGTATGCTGGGAATGAGACAAGCATTAACAAAAGAAAGAAATGATTTGTGTTTTGAATTTGAATGTATGGAAGTTGAATTTTCACGCATCACACAGGATCGTTAATGAATCCATCTATGTTTGGCAAAGATGTGCAATACAGTTTAACAACATTGATGCCTAATATCGGGATTGAGACTTTGATTGAAAAATGTGAATCTTTGGATTTTGATAATGATGATCTGGTCGAAGGAGCCGCCACTTTGGATGAGAAATTTCCATGGTTAACAACGACACATGAGAAGGCTCATTTATATTCATCTTTTGGTCACGAGAGATCATCTTTTCATCTGGTCTGCTCCGGTCTGGTCTGGTCTGATATGATATGATATGATATGATATGATATGATATGATATGATATGATATGATATGGGCTGGTGATCTGATCTGATACGGTCTGGTCTGGTCTGTTCTGATCTGATCTGGTCTTATATTATCTGGCCTGTTCCAGATCAGACTAATTCTGGTCTGATCTTGTCTGATCTCATCTGATCCAATTTGGTCTGATCTGATCTGATCATCTGTTTTGTTGTCTTCTGTTCTGTTCTATTCTGTTCTGTTCTGTTCTGTTCTGTTCTGTTCTGTTCTGTTCTGTTCTGTTCTGGACTGGTCTGACATGATCTGGTATGTTCTGGCATGTTCTGGTCTGATCTGGTCTGATCTGGTCTGATCTGATCTGGTCTGATCTGGTCTGATCTGATCCAATATGATCTGGTTTGATCTGGTCTTATCTGGTCTGATATGATCTGGTCTCTTTCTGGTCTGGTCTGATCGTGTCTGATCTGATATGATCTGGTGGATTATCATTGTTTTATACTGTAAAAACCTTTGTGAGTAACTTTAATGTGGACTTGTGACTGAACCTGAACCTGAACATGTCTTTGATCTGCTGTGTCTCCTGCAGGTGATCACAGACAACATGTTTTGTGCAGGTTACCTGGAGACCAGTATGGATGCCTGTAGTGGAGACAGTGGGGGACCCTTCATGGTGAACTACAGAGGGACCTGGTTTCTGACTGGAATCATCAGCTGGGGGGAGAAATGTGCTGCTAAGGGGAAGTACGGAGTTTATACCCGACTAGGAAACTTCCTGAACTGGATCAGAGACACCATGGAGAGACAGGATCTAAATGGTACCAGGAGCTGAGAGATGAAAACTGATGAGGACTGATGAGGACTGATGTAAATGTAAAACTGACCTCACAGAACACGTGAGCAACATGCAGCATCAACCCCTCACCTGCGTGAAGTCTGACCTCTGCTGGTGCAGATACTGACCTGACCCTCTGCTATTGGCTGGTCTTTGGTCTTTTTGTGCAATAATGATAACAATGAGAACACTTTCCATATCTGACGGTCAAGTGGGTCAATGAGGTGTGTGTGTGTGTGTGTGTGTGTGTGTGTGTGTGTGTGCGTGCGTGTGCGTGTGCGTGTGCGCGTGCGTGTGTGTTTGTTTAAATGTGTGTGTGTCTCATAGTGTACGTCCCACCTGCTCCTGCAAGTGAACGCACCTGGGGCCTCATTTATAAAACTGTGCGCACGTACACTTTTAGGGGAAATCCTATGCACTAAGTTGAAAACACCATGGAGTGGGGTGAGGAGCCAGCACCTGAGGGGGCAGCCACTGTCACCTGCAGGTTAAAACAGAGTAAATGTACATCTCGAATTAGAATTACTATAATACATTGTTTTATTAACAGCCATCACGCACAGCACCTGCTTGTAGTCTATCCCCTACACCGCTGTGTGCCAGGATAAAAGAGTCATGAGTGGAGCCAGGCCACCGTGCTACCACATCTGTCAGAGTCACATATGACTTGGACATTTATTGAATGCACCTGCTTTCTATTTCCATAAACAAATTTGTTTTCAGATGGAGCCTGTATAGCAATATGAGTGCAGTCAATTGCGCCAATTACATTCAGGAAACCGGACATTGCTGCTAATTGTCTTTGGATGTGGGCCCGTTCTCCCACAGTGAAAGGGAACTTGATGTATCAACTACTCATTTTAATAATCCCATCGGGAACTGCAGGCATTATTGAACACAGGAAGGGGAACGCATCTCTCAGGCCCCGTATTGTGCGTACGCAACAGTTATAAATGAGGCCCCTGGTCTGCTCAGTAGTTATGGCGCTGGGTTCACCCTGAGTTCTGCACAGGCCTAAAACTTAGAAGGAACTGATGAAGGAATGACCTCTCTCTGTTTCCTGTTGAGTTGATATTAATTCATTATGTTTGATCCATGAATGTGACGTCACCTAACCAGAGGACCAGGTCAGATCCTGATCTTCACCAGCAGGTTTTACACATGGTTTAGGTCAATGTGGTAATTTCTTAAAGTCATTGTGTTAATTTGTTAAATGTGTCAGAGCAGAATATGAGAAAATTAGTTCACAATCAATTCATAACAGCTTACTGTGAAGTGTTTCTGTTTCCAAGGTTACATGTTTGTCTCACAGTGAAACTCTGTATTTGATACACTGTAAATAAATCTATGAGACATCATGAGACATGAGACATCTCTTTGCCCAAAGTGTTTATTTCAGTGCAAAATATAATAATATCAATATATAAAAAACAGTGTGACTGTGATAACCATACATATGAGTGCAGAGATATAATAACACATCTTTAATACAAGAACATTAAGTCCAGAGGAAACATCTAAACCACAGTGTCTGGATCTTGTCTCTTCTGGATCTGAGTCTACTTAATCCAGTTTCATGCAGTTTGGATTAAAAACAGGCTGTAGTCCTGTTAGCGCCCCCTACAGGCTGCAGATCATTACAGCAACAGTCAGAACAGACAACAGACAACAGATCAGTGGAGTCAGGTTTGTCCTGAAGGAGGTGCTAGAGGAAAGATCATCACTGAAATGGACAGAGATCATCCTCTGGAGAAAAGGAACAAACACATGAACAATCTGAGCTGTAGTTGGATGGATACAGGAACCTGGTTTACAGGCAGTGAGGTGAAACCATCAGCAGCTAGCAGAGGATGGAACAAAGTATTCTGGGTGTTACTGTGTGTTTCAGTCCAGGTCTTTGGTGAGAAAGTAACAGTATCTTTGTTCATTCACAGAGAACCAAGAACTGAGTTTGGTTATAAATGAAGGAACGTTTACCCTGTGGCAAAACCAGGATCACGATCAGGACCAGGATCAGGATCAGGATCAGCTCTGGTATCAGCTCTGGCTTAAACCTGATTTTACAAATATGAACGTGTTTTTCTGAACAAAGAAATCTGTCAAATGAGCGGTCGTAGAAGAGAGAGGAGTGTTCAGCTCTAACACCATCTGAATCTGAGTCTGATCAGAGATTGTAGATTAATCTCTTATATTTTCTTTTCATTATTCATTCTATTCATTTTCCCACATTAGACAGTAGCACAGTGCACACTGAGGCTGGAGTAAAGCTGCATTAAAAGTAGTAAAGCATGTGTAAATATGTTAGACAGTAAATATATATGGGGCTAGAATAGTGATTTATTTACATTCATACCTGGATCCAATGGTTTCCACAAGTTCACCTGCAACTCCCAAACTGCAGGTAAGTCTGCTTCTGTCAGGCTTCTGAATGTAAATAAATCACACACTCCTTTAACTTTAATGTTACTGTTCTAGCCCCATAAGAGTATCTCTGCTTTAACAGTGCCCTGCATCGTTAGAAAAGATGGGCGGGGCTTTTTTGTTGAAGGATAGACACTGTACTGTAAATGTATCCTGAGCTCAGTTGGTTCACACTGTTGTGTTCAGGTTCATGCAGATGAAGCAGAGCAGAACGTAGTTTCACATTCAGTCTGAAGGCTGTGTCACACAGCTGCAGCACAGCTGGATTGACTGGCCAAAGGTCAAAGGCAGAGGAGAGTGAAGCAACCTGCAGGGGAGGGAGGGGGGGGGTTGCAGACAGACACATGTGGACAGACTGACGACCAGAGGATGTGTGCTCTCATTCAGTCCCAGCTGTGCTGTTCTGACCGTCTCACCACCAGGGGGCAGTCTGAAGGTGGTTCTGTATCCACTCCACATATTTAACCACTCGGGTGTAGACGCCATACACCCTCTGGCTCCCGCACTCCTCAGGCCCCCCCCAGGACACCAACCCAAACACCACCCACCTGCGGCTGACCTCGTCCTCCATCACAAACGCCCCCCCACTGTCCCCCAGGCAGGTGTCCCTCCCCCCCTCGAAGAAACCGGCACAGAACATGTTGTCAGTGATGTTATAGCTGACGGAGCGCGAAGTGTAGCTCGCCCGACACTCGTCCTGAGAAACCACCGGCAGCTTCACATACTGCAGGAGGTCAGAGGTTACCCCAAGGTCAGAGGTCAGTGAGGGGGGGTCACTGGAGGAGGAGGCATTGGGATTAGAGATCCCCCAACCCGCAACTACACCAAGAGAGTTAGGGACAGGGGTGGAGGGGTCATCCTGGAAAAGAGAGAGGGGTCAAAGATCAACCTGTGGTCAGTTCAATAACATATTTATTCTCCTCCAAGAGGACATCCTCTAAAGTCTCACTTCACTGACTAAAAATGTCCTCACTTCATTCAAGTGCCCTGACTTTCTAAAGATGTACTGATTTTCTTCGTCACGTCCTATAAATTTGCTGACTTTACAAAAGTTTTCTCAAAAATGTCCCTATTTAAAAAAATGTCTTTACAAATATCCTGACTATTCAATAACTGTCCTGAGTGTTGTAATATTTCAGAAGTGTGTTTCGTCCTCAGTCTCGGGACAGACAGTATGTGTCCCACCTTGATGTGGGGTGGTGGGACACAGACTGGACGGATGATCTCGTTGAACTCGACCCGCTGCCTCAGCCTCAGTAGGGCAATGTCATTGTTGTAGTTGTTGGGTTGGAAGTCTGGATGGAGGAAGATCTCCTCCACCGAGTGGCTAGTGGCCAGACGTTTGTCCCGGGCGTCATGGAGACCGAGGAAGACCTGAAGGACAAAGAGTGGGACACTGGTTAATCTGGTCTATCTACGCAGGGACAGAGAGTTTAAACTGATTTCTGAAAACCTGGGAAGAAAGGAATCATGTTAATCGTCACAGGTTTGTTTAAACGTTAAAACGTGGAGCAGCAGGTGAGAAAAGGTTGGGGTTTGTCGGGGTCTGAGGTCACTGAGAGACCAGAGGTCAGAGTAAATTCTGAGGCTGTGCTCAAATTAATGTAGGACAGGCTGGTTTATATATTCAAATCCAAACACATGAACCAGTCCTAATCAGAATAAAGCCTTATTGATCCAAAGTGAAATACTATCACTTGTAGTTTCCACCCTCATATGAATCTAAATGTAGCATTTACTGAAAATATTCACAGCAGCCACAGAACAAAACCACCCACTTTTCTTTTATGTATTGTAACATAAAAGAAAATAAAACTGTTTCCAAACAGAAAACTGTCTGTACAAAAAAAGATATGTTCTCCCAAGAAAAGGTGAAAACATTGACGAGAAAATCAGGTGAAGGTTGTAAAAGTCAAGAAGCTCCTCAAAAAACATCAGGTGAAGAAACGGAACTTCTCTTCTCAAACGCCTGCACATATTACAGTCAGTTTCCTCCTCTGACCTTTACATGTTCGGGGGCCACAGGGACAACGCTGGTGTCCCTCCTCTGGGACCTCATGACGTGGGCTGCCGTGAGGACCCAGGACTCAGACAACAGGGCTCCAGAGCCAAACCAACGGTCCTCTGGGACCCGGGACAGATCCTCCACACTTAGCAGAACGTGCCAGGGGAACAGGCCGGGCTCGGCTGTCCGACCACCCACGATCCGCTTCACCTGAGTGGGGAGAGAGCGGGACGGGCGGCCGCAGGCTGGACAGAGACATGGAGAAGAGTCAGACGCGGTTTACATCTATTTACACCTGTTTGCATCTCTTGACATCTGTTCACACCTGTTTACATCTGTTCACACCTGTTTACCTCCACTTACACCTGTTCACACCTGTTTACATCTGTTCAAACCTGTTTGCATCTGTTCACACCTGTTTACATCTGATCAAACCTGTTTGCATTTGTTCACACCTGTTTACATCTATTCACATCTGTTTACAATTGTGTACATCTGTTCACAACTGTTCACACCTTTTTATATCTGTTCACATCTGTTTGCATCTGTTTACTATTGTTCACATCTGTTCAAACCTATTTATATCTGTTCAAACCTATTCACATTTGTTAACATCTATTAACAGTTGTTTACACCGTTTGCATATTTTTACAATTGTTCACATCTGTTCAAATGTGTTTACATCTGTTTACACCAGTTCACACCTGTTTACATCTGTTCACACCTGTTTACATGTTCACATCCAGCCCATGAAAATAATGGTGTTAGCAGAAAATGGCCTGACAAGGCCCAGGCTGGGAAAGGTAGGGGATTTTCAGAGATCTGACACTGTTAACATGTCCTGGCAGCCCGGTGTGGGGAATCCAGGGCAGACTAGACACCATTATTTCCAGGGCAATGATAGGTTGTTGTTTTTTTAAGAAAAACAGGTGGACATGATTTTGCTATATAAGATGGTGCATAGGCAACTGTTTTCAGTTCAGCTCCCAAGTGCTGGCTCAGGTTGTTCCTGTGAAAGGGAATAAACTCTAACCATCAACAATTAAACTCTGACCATCTCCGGTGAATTATTTGAACTTTTTGGGACTCCAGTATGTGTGCATAAGAGTTCTTAGTTACGTATTGGTGAAGAGTTCCAGATTTAAACTCCGGCCCAGATCTGGACTTCTCTCCTCCAACGAGCTCATCTATGATACATAATCATGATCTGGGCCCGTATTCACAAAGCATCTCAAGGCTAATTGTAGCTCCTAACTTGCAGATTTAGAAGAAAATAATAGGCGTGTCAGTCATTTTTCTGACTAAGAGTCATTCACAAAGCCACTCAGCGCTAAAAGTAGACGACCAAGTCATAAAGAATCTTAAAGAGCTGCTGTCATTCCATGTCAAAGTTTGTGAAGGATGCAATAACATCTCTACCCAACTGAAACAACCCGATCAGTGTGGAAATTAAGTGTTTGGCAACGCTGCGCTAACAGAGAAAAGCAGATCTATTCACCAAACAATAAATGTGCTCTGACCCGACATCATAGGACAATTCATACAATTTCTTTTAGATGTTCAACAACTACAGAGAAATAAAGCAGCTTCATGGTCGGTCTACCCGGTGTGATCGGTGCCATAGATTGAACTCGAAAATCATTGCACCATCAGACAATAACGTATTTGTAAAAAGGAAACAAAATCTCACCATCAACACACAGGTTGTATTGATGCTGCCTGTACAGTTGTAGACATTGTTGTACAGTGTCCAGGATCTACACACGAGTCATGGATCTGAGTGGAGAGTGACCTGATCAGCTGTTTGAAAGGATCATATTCCAGCTGGATGTCACCTGGTGGGACAGTGGAAATCTTCTCACACCTCAACCCACAGCCGGGACCACAGCTACATTACAACACATACAGCTACAACAGACTGTGGCTGATGGGCTGCCAGTTAGGTTTAGTTAGGTCGTCTGTATTTTTGTAGAATGCACTACTTTTGTAAACAGCATCTAATCTGTTATTATTTCATTTGTATTTGTTTATTTCTCAGTGTTTTTTTTATTATTACTGCGGGATGTTGCACCAGCACAGACTGGTCTCTCATCAACCAATCACTGTTGTTGAGCTCATCCATGAGAATTGACGTCAGCCTAGCAATGGAGTCACACTCTTAGCTTAGGAGTTTTGACTTTTCCTTACTAAAAGTTGGTCTCAGCAGCTTTGTGAAGAGGATTTAGGAGAAAACCTTTATTTAGAAACATTTAGTGTGACTTAGGAGAACTCTTAGTGGTAAGATAAAATGCTTTGTGAATACGGACCCTGATCATGATCTGTCAGTTCTGCCAGATATTTCTGAGTAAAATGTTATAAGTTTATTCAAGATGGTGTGGTCTTATACAGTATACAATATTCAATAAAAATTCCAGTTGGATTTCACATTAAGGTCACATGATATGAGCAAACAGTTCACACACAGAGGACAGACAGGTACCTGGCAGACAGCTCGGCAGTTTGGGTCCTGCTTCTGAATTAATCCATTCTCCATTCTGATGACAGCTATAGGAACCTGCACAAATACAGCTGTGTCTTTACAAATACAGCTGTGTCTTTACAATGATTGAGTTTCAGTACAATCTGATCTCATCCATATGTTGACTTCTGTTATTGTGAATCATGATGTAACATGTCTAATAACTATTAATAATGATATTGATACTCTTACTGTTGCTGGTGTTCAGGTGAAACGTGTCCCCTCTGCAGATGTAGTGGACAGTCGATCCAAACAGTGTGCTGTTGTCATGGTTACCAAACACCACGTCAGCCATCTCAACCACCTTTGGACTCCCACAGTCCACCACTATGACAGAGACAAACATCTACTGATCAGTGACCAATCAGCTTTCAGTCTGAGCAGAGAGGACGATGATGAAGACGAAGAGTTGAAGAGATGAAGGCAAACTAAACCAGCTCCATTTCTCCCACTGTTCAAACAGCAGGACACATGTTGATATGAATGACAGTAAAACAGAGTTCAGAGAGAAACTGAATTATCAGCTTTGTGCTTTTACTCTGAATTAAACATTAAACTGGTTCAGATTCAGATTCACGCTCTTCTTATTTGCAGTGTTTCTACAGTAATTTTGACTAATAACTCCATCACCACATTCAGTGGATTTTCAGTATAGCATCGTCACAAGTTTCTAACAGACTGACAGCAGGTTTTTAATATCTGACATTTTAATATTTAATATGATATTATCCAAAAGTTCCAAATTTCCAGAACAGCAGTTGAACTGAAATGACCTGATGATGACCTGATGATGATGATGATGATGATGATGATGATGATGATGGTGATGATGATGATGATGATGATGATGATGCATTGGGCAGTTTTGATTTAATTAACTATGGTGATGGGATGAGTTGTTACATAAATGTGAACACAAGAAGTCCCACCTCCACAGTGTAGGTCATCCTACAGACAGTCTGTCTGTGCTGAGTGAGTGAGTCACTGTTAAAGCTGCTCCATGTGTGATTCTTCATGGAGGTTTTTTTCTCATCACATTGTTTATCTGTTTTTTATGTATTTTATTGTTGAGTTGTTTCACTTAAATGCTGTGATATGATACGTCATGTCATACTAGTCCCTTTACAAATATAAATAAAACTTATTTTCTGATGTTCCTGTCGTCATGGTTTCAGAGACTCACAGAGACACGCGACTGCAAATTCTTGTTTGATTTGTTTTATTAGAAAATAGATTAACTTTCAGGGAAAACTACTGACAAACATTAAAGGAGCTGTATGTAAGTTTTGCTATTGCTACATAGCTAATGTTAGCACTAACAGCTGTTTATTTACCAGTCTCACCAAGAGCCTCAGCCTCATTGTGTTTACAATATCAGAGGTTATAATATGTCCTCTGGGCAGCTACTTCTTCAGGACAGACTGGAGGCTACAGTGACTCAGAATCAGAAAGCTAGCTGTTTCGCATGCTAACTTCAGTAGAAGAAAAGAAGTGGTGCAGACAAGAGTTAACATTGGTGTTTGTTTCCACCTCTGGAGGCAGCTGTTGGTGAGTTGGTGAGTTAAGGAAAGAAATTTGATGCAATGTTTCTTCTAGACTGGTAAGTAAACAGCTGCTAATGCTAACATTAGCTATGTAGCAATAGTAAAACTTAAATAGCTCCTTTAAGTGTGGGAATGAGAATATGTTTCTTCCTACAGTATCTGTCAGCAGCGACCTCCTCTAATCTACACTGAGACTGTTCAAGATGGTGGACAGAGATCTTCACCTCCTCGTTGAGTCTGTTTCTAGGGAGACAAAGAGAGAGCGGGAAACAGTTTCAGTGGCTGCTCTCCTTCTTCTATCCTCCTTCCTCCCACCCAGAAACAGACAGAGGTCCTCCATCAGCATGTGAATGTGTCTCAGAGGACAGAGGAACCAATGTGGTTTCATCAGACAATCAGAATCTATTTACTAATTTGGTCAGTCAATCTGAAGTGATGGCTGTGGTGGGAACAACTTTAACATCAATATTACATGATGTGTAAGATCACTGTAGATTAGACGGATAACAATGTTATTATGTGCGTTCATAATAAAATATTACATGTTTACAGTCTGAATCAAGAAACACTGCAGCTTTTCTTATTTCTTCTTCATGAGCCAAAAGGTTTTTTTCTTTTCTATCTCCATCTTGGTTTATTCAGCACAAACAAAGAGCTACAGTCACCGTTCTCATTATCATCATCCTGATCCATGATCCTGATCCTGCAGTCTGTCACAAACCAGAGAGGCTATACATTTATTTTGAAAATTTGCGGCTGCTGCCTCATGCTCTGCTCTTTCAGTATGAATCTCATTGTCTCTGTGTTGTTTCTGAGACACCCTGACAGGTGTTGTATTTCTACATATGTCACAGTTGAGATGTTGTGTGTCAGGTTTCCATCTGGTCTGCAATGAACAGCTGAACAGAAAATCTGACAGTTCTATTTAGTGCTTGACAAGGATCATCAGGGACAAGTTCTAGATGACCAGAAGTCATTAGCAGTTGATCAATTAGCAGCTACAATCATCACTGTTTAGTCTATCAGAATATAACAGACTTTCTGTCACCATACTAGTCAGTTTCAACTACTGCTGTAGACCGACTATAATGTAGGTATGTGCAGGTGTATGTGTCTGTGTGTGTGTGTGTGTGTGTGTATGTGCTGGATCAAAGTGTGTAGAAGGAATTGTGGAATTTCACTGGTAGCGACCACCAGATTTCTGTTGTTGTGACGTCCTTAAACCTGCACATGTCAAAGATCATCATTAGAAGTGAAAAAGCTTCAGGAGTTGAACTATCCAGATGTTTTACTGAGAGCAGCAGTGGGATCCAAAATGAGGTGTGTGTGCTGTTTTCTTACTTTGACAATGGGGAGGACTGCTGCTCCATGATCCATCAGACTGACAGTCCACCTGATAATGATCCAGCTCCTCACCGTCCTGAAACACAGGGACACTGTTTCTTCTGCATAACAATCGTAACATCAACACAACATGTCCATCACTTTTACATACAACCAGGACTAACTTCTATTTGAGTACATTTAACCAGCTGTTTGTAACAAGGCTGTGAGCAAGCTAAAAATACATCTCTTGACTCTGAAGGGAAGGAAAGACGTTTGTCTGCACAATCCTGGTTCTGCTATTTTTCTGTGAATCCACAATGAGTTGACAAAGACATCAAGGTGTCCTAGGTTTCCCAGAGAGACAGAGTGAGGCTGTTCTGGAGCTCTGATGTTCTGTTGTGTTTTTAAGTTTACTCACTAAATGAACATTTGGAATTTTAGCCTTCACCTGGTCACCACTTTAATCCTATTTTATCTCTGTAGCTACAGTTACATGATTTGAACAGCTGTATATACTGTTGATATGTTGATATAGTGAAAATAGTAATATTAATACCCATAGGTAGGCGTTACCAAAATAATAATAATTATTATAATAATTGTGTAAACAATAGAAGAAGAAGAAGAAGAAGAAGAAGAAAAAGAATGAGTGTTGTCGTGGCAGATCTGGATCCTTCAGTCCAAAACTGAGTCAGAATCATTTTATTGATTTAATCCATGTAAAGCATCAGTCTGAGCAGGAGGCATGTTCTGATTTGGCATCGTACCTTCAGCAGTCTGTATCCAGACTCACAGGTGAACAGAATGTGGTCTTTGAAGGAGTATTCGGATTGGACAGGGTTTATGAGGGCATTTGGTGGGATCTCAGGTAATGGACATTGACTTCCTGTTAGGACAAAATAAAAACATTTTAGGAAAATCTGTCTCGAAAAACAAATCAGTTCACTGTTGTGTGTCTGTCTTTATTAACCTAGCATGTGTAGTATATGAGTGTATGAGTGTGTGTAGTATAAACCTGTAGTAGTGTATGAGTGTGTGTAGTGTAAACCTGTAGCAGTGTAAATTATATTGTATATTGTGAAGTGTGAGTGTAAATTATATTGTAAATTAACATAAACATGTCACATTTGTTTTAATTAGTTACCTGTACATGTACTAAAATGCTCAAAGTTGCAATGAGTTTGCTCCTCAGGCTGAAATGAGAAATAGCTTGACTACACAAGTGTAATGTGGTGAGATGTTATGAGTTTGTGTATTAGTATTAATGTTTGTGCCACATTCAGTTTAGGCCATAATATTTTTGAAACATGAAACTCTGTTTGACCCAGTCTTTAGTGCAACACCGCTGCCATCCTCAAGACATGTCATACTTTCTGTTTTTTGTCTGTTACTGTTCTCTACAGTATTTATTTAATTATTAATACACCATTAAGATTTACATGGTGTCATTACTGACACGAGATGTCATTACCGCAGCAACACTTTATTTTATATTAATTATCATGCTTTTATTTGAAAAAAAATATTTAAACATATAACCAGAGATGATTTAAAAATTAGAACTGCAGTAGCTTTAATAAAAAGTAATATATTTTATCCTTACTGTATCTGAAGAGAATTGACATCTAAGGTTACTGACAACATTTTCTGTGGCATAAAGAAAACCATGAAATCCTATATTTTATATTATTTTACAGTGATATACAAAGGTTAATGAAAATCTATTTAAATTTTAAAAAACATTTATATAGATAGAAAAAGGAAAATGCATTAAATTAATGTTTGGCTGGAACAATTGTTAAAAACCATACAAAAATAAACATGTTCCAGATTAAAACCTTAACCATCATATTCAAATTTGTTTACCTGTTAATATATATAACCTACTGTGGTGGTTAAAATTAAAATTCATAGAGGTTCATTTTTAAATTTGGGATGGTCAAAAATTACAGAACCACCCATAAACCTGTAGTGGTGTATGAGTGTGTGTAGTATAAACCTGTAGCAGTGTATGTGACCCTCCAGCCCACATTCTCTCCGGAGTTGTCGCTGTGGAAGAACACGGTGACGACGTTGCTGTCGGTCTCAATGACTCCTGGAGATCGATCTCCACAGAACGGACCGAGCTCACTACTGCCTGCTGTAATCTGACACACAAAACTGATCACTGATGAGCACAGATTATACATGCGTATAAACACAGGTGTGTTTGCTCCTCTCACCTTGACATAGTCGTAGGGGCAGCTGACGTCGGGGTGATCCTCCACGTCGAAGGTGGGGTCAAATTCGAGGCGGAGCTTAAAGCCTGGCTCCACCTCGATACGATAGGAACAATCGGAGCTCTTTGGATACGGAGCGGGAAAATCGACACTGCCCAGAACACCAGAACGTTCCCGGAATACACTGTCACTACACTCCACTAAAGACACACACACACACACACAGAGTTAGAGGTTAGGTTCATGTATATCTGTGTGTAGATAAAATTATATTTGTATATACACAAGTTACACAAGAAAACAGGATCAGGACTTTGTGCAGGAATGAATCAGTGGGTTCTTACTATTTAGATTTTTCATGTTTCAGAGTTTTAGCAGTTTGTGTCTAAACTAAATCAGAAGGTATAAAACAGCTGAAGGTGTGGGAACAGTTCAGATAAACACACAACCAGGCCACAGTGGACGAAATGGATTCATTGAATGTTGTGTTCATGTCAGGGTCTGTGGTAAGTAGGGGTGGACCCAAAATGCAGCCAACACTTGGGGGACGGTGCAGACAGGTTTATTAAACTAAAGAACTTAAAGCACAGGGAACCACAAGGAACAGCAGGCCAAAACACGAGAAGCACAGGGGATGACAACAGGCAACATGAACAGACTGAGGACAAACTGGACATGAACAGCTTGGGGACGAACCAGACATGAACAGACAACGCGACCAGATGATGACAAACCCAGAGATAAACAGACGAACCGACACAGACAAAGGAGAGCACAAAGACTATATAGACACAGGAGGCAAGGGTGATTGAACACAGGGGAAACACATTAGGGCGGGGCAAACAATCACCACACAGAAACAGGACCAAGACAGGAAGCAATAACATTACAAAATAAAACAGGAAGAGCAAAAAGTCCAAACAACACTAACAAAAAGTGTCTGCCATTGCAAACCATGACAGTTCATTTGTGGATTATTTGGTGACATGAGTGAGGGACTGCGACAGAGACATGTCTTACTTTACTTCATCGAACCAGAGAACAATATAACACCCAAAATAGAACCAGTTCTATTTTGGGTGTTATATTGTTCTCTGTTGTCAGCTAAAGGGGGCGCTAAGATTTTTTGGGATCACTGTATGCAATGCGCTACTCAAAGGCAGACATGTTTTCCCTGGCTCTAATAAAACAGTCAGCACAGTTCGTTAGCTTCTTTCTCCCTCGTTTTTCTTCTGAGATATATTCCACACAATATTCTGTGACATACAACAGTCCAGAAATAAGTTCAGTGTCAGATCTAATTCTAAAACAAGGATATGAAATTTTGTTCTTCAACAGGAGGATTGAAGAAGTTGGGGTGTGGCCGTATATGTTGGTTTGACCCTTACATGTCAACAAGTACAAGATACTTGTGTATACAAAACCCCTGCATGTAAAAAGAAACAGTCTGTACAGAGAATTCTGAAGGAGAAAAGTGTGAGCAACAATAAACTGACTGAGGAGACTGAGTTAAACTCAGTGTGCGTGTCCTCCACACAGAAACATGCACATGTAAATATTTACCACCAATCAGCAGCTGCTATCAGTCAGAGGTTAGAGTCAGACACTGAGCACACACACACACGCACGCATGCACGCACACACACACAAACTGTTCTCACCATAAGCCTGTTAACATGCTGCTAGCAGAAAGAAACCCCCTCACACTGTCTGTTCCTTTGTTTTGCTGTGTGTGTGTGTGTGTGTGTGTGTGTCTGTGTGTGTGTGTGTGTGTGTGTGTGTGTGTGGAAAGGCTCTAGCTTAAACGTGATGAGTTGAACTATAAACCCAAGTCTGAACTTTCAGCCAAAGACATCTCAGGTGTATGACCTGAGTAAAACCTGAAGTGTTTTCCTGGCGGTGAAACAAAAGTGTCGATTGAGACTGTGATCAGGGTCAGGATCAGGATCAGGGTGCTGGAATTCAAATCTGCTGAGACAATTCACATGTTAACATGTTTAAGCTTATTGTGTTTGAAAAGCTCCAACACTGAAGTCAGAGAGGCTGCAGGAGCTCAACAAACTCAAACTCACTTTCACTTAACCATGCTCTCATGTAGACTGATCACTTTATTAGGAACACCGTACTAACACTGGGTAGTTCCTCAGTTCTTCATGTCATGGATCCAGCAGATTTGGGGGGGGGGGCGTACAATGAACTCAGTCATGTTGATGAAACCAGTTTGTGACATGGAGCATTATCCTGCTGTCAGTAGCCATTAGAAGATGGGGAACTGCGGCCATGAAGGGATGAACATGGTCAGAAACAACCGATAGACTGTGACATTCAGACCGTGTTTGATTGGTATTAAGAAGAAAACATTCCCCACACCATCACACCACCACCAGCAGCTGGAACTGTTGACACAAGACAGGTTGGACGTGGTCTTCTGCTGTTGTAGCTCGTCCACCTCAAGGTTGGACGTGTTGTTCACTCTGAAGCTTCTCTGCTCAGCACAGTTGTACAGAGAGGTTATCTGAGTGACCGTAGCCTTTCTGTCAGCTTCAACCAGTCTGTCCATTCTCCTCTGACCTCTGACCTCTCTCATCATAACCACTGGATGCTTTTGTTTTTGCTCCATTCTGTTCTCACCTGGATCTGCTGCTGCTGCCACATGATTGGCTGAATAAGCAGAAGATGATTTCTTTACATGTTAGTGAGTTAGATTTTACTCTGCAATAATGTTCAGACTGAGGTGGAGGAATCATCAGGATGTTATATTTCTGTTGTGTGACCTGTGGACGTCAGTGACTCACCTCTGCAGGTGCGGTTGTCAGTGTGCAGCAGGTAACCATAGCGACAGGAGCAGTAGTATCCTCCAATGTAGTTGTGACAGAAATGATCACAGAGCAGATCTTCATCTGTGCGATCGCTGCACTCGTCTACGTCTGGAGAGATGGAGGAGGAGTAGGAGAGAATAATGATAAAAATATTAAAGCTGTACCTTTAACTAAAGAATAAAGTCTAAAGTCTAAAATCAGATCTAATGGGCAAAGATTTCTGCTCCGGCTGTTAGGACCTGGGGCTGAAGACTGTTAAATGGTTACTGTGACCTGGTGGAGCTGCAGCAGCTGGAGGTCAGACTGAAACCAGATGTGATGTCTCTGCAAAAAGTGTAACAGGGAAATCCAGATTCTGTCAGATCTGAGACTTCAGACGTCATCAATCAAACTAAATAAAAACTAAATACATGCACTCCTGACCTGGTCAAGAGAGAACACGTCGTGTCCCCCTGACTGGACATCACCTGCATAATGACGAATATATCACATCTTCATCGTGTTAGAGCTCAGGTATTTAAATGATCATATTGTTATGGTGACATATGTTCGTCCTGTTTTTCAGCATCATTGTGACTGGGATCATCACGATGAGAGGAACTTAAAGTCTCCTGTGGACACTTTGCATTTTTCTACTTAACTAGTTACCAAAGTATTAACTGACACATAAAAAAATATGATTTTTACCCTTTTATAATCCTGTACTGTCAGAAAGGAATGGTATACAGGTACACAGACAGGTACACAGACAAGTACAGACAGGTGCACAGACAGGTACACAGACAGGTACACAGACAAGTACAGACAGGTACACAGACAGGTACACAGACAGGTACACAGACATGTACAGACAGGTACACAGGACAGGTACACAGACAGGTACACAGACAAGTACAGACAGGTACACAGACTGGTACAGACAGGTACACAGACAGGTACAGAGGACAGGTACACAGACAGGTACAGACAGGTACACAGACAGGTACACAGGACAGATACACAGACAGGTGCAGACAGGTAGACAGACAGGTAGACAGAGCAGTTACATAGGACATGTGCACAGGACAGGGGCAGACGAAAGGTACTGGTTCTCTACTTCCCCAGTTCTCTGATTTTCTAGTTCTCTAGTTCTCTAGTTCTCTGGTTCTCTAGTTCTCTGGTTCTCCAATTCTCTGGTTCTCTAGTTCTCTGGTTCTCTGCTGGTTCTCTGGTTCTCTAGTTCTCTGGTTCTCTTGTTCTCTGGTTCTCTGTTGGTTCTCTGGTTCTCTAGTTCTCTGATTCTCTGGTTCTCTGCTGGTTCTCTGGTTCTTTGGTTCTCTGTTTCTCTGGTTCTTTGGTTCTTTGGTTCTCTAGTTCTCTGGTTCTTTGGTTCTCTAGTTCTCTGGTTCTCTAGTTATTTGGTTCTCTGGTTCTCTAGTTCTCTGGTTCTCTGGTTCTTTGGTTCTCTAGTTCTGTAGTTCTCTGGTTATTTGGTTCTCTAGTTCTCTGGTTCTCTAGTTCTCTGGTTCTCTAGTTCTCTGGTTCTTTGGTTCTTTGGTTCTCTAGTTCTCTAGTTCTCTAGTTCTCTGGTTCACTGGTTATTTGGTTCTCTAGTTCTCTGGTTCTCTAGTTCTCTGGTTCTCTGGTTGTCTGGTTCTCTAGTTCTCTGGTTCTCTAGTTCTCTGGTTCTCTAGTTC